TTATATTAATTAATTATATATATATTAAATTAAAGAAGTTGGCCAAAAAACATAAGTAAAGAAACTAATTTTATATTTTTAAAATTAAAATAAAAAGCACGAATAAGCTCCTCGACTTGTGCATCAAGTTACGATCATACCTTCCACCATCTCTGTGCGAGGAAGAAGAGGAAACAAACATACAAAATTGAATTTCTTTGCAATTTAATGGGCAGCCTCTAAAATTGGTCCTGACCATGTTGAATATTTGAGAATCTTGTATATGTTTCCAATGGTTTCTCTTAAATCTTTGGGTCTTCATCTTCTTGCTTTTTACTGGATTTGAAGTGCTCTTTCTGGTAATTTCCTTGCTGGGTTTGCTTTGTTTGATTTGGTTGAGTGAATGGATGGATTTGGTGGAACTCTTTGGACATTGATGATAATGGATGGCCATGAAAGCTACAACTCTTAGGTGTTTTTAAAAGCTTTTTATTATTATTATTATTATTATTTTATGTTATTTGTTTTTAATTTTTCTTTAATTATTTTTGGGATTGGTTAGTGGGTTGGTCCTATAGTGGACACATCATCAATTAACGTCTTATCAAATGGTCAACTTAACGAAAAGGTTAAATTGGTCAAATTTGAAAACTATAGGGTGTAAATTGATAAAATTGAAACTCGGGAGCCCATATTGAGAATGACCCCAAACCTTCAGGGAGTCTTTTGACGTTAGCCCTAATTAAAACATAACTACTACTTAAAGTAATTTAAAAAGAGAAATCCAGATTTTGATGTTTAAATGGTATAGCCACTCGGTTATACTGTTTAAATAGAAGCGTATCGCCGAGCGGCTATACCCTTAAGATATTGTATTTATAGCGTATACCCGCACAACTATACAATTAAAGTATTGTATACATCAAGGATAACTGTGCGGCTATACTCTCCAAATATTAGATTTATATTAATTAATTACATATATTTAAAAAGTTGGCCAAAAAAGAAGAGTAAAGAAACTAATTTTGTATTTTTAAAATTAAAATAAAAAGCAAAGACACTTATCGCGATGAAAGTTCGTTGGCCCAAGTTTGTGTTGGCAAATATGTGCCTAACCTCTCCCGACGAAAGTACCTCTGTCGACGAAATTTCATCGGGAGAGGTCTAATATGGCAAATTGATCCGGGATAGACATGTGTCGACGAAATTGCGCCGATAGGTTTTTTCTCAAAATAAATTTAAACTTAAGTATACCCGCTTGATAGTTTAGGTTAATTGTATTCTTCTCCATAAAGAGGTATATAGAGGAGTTTACATGAGTACTTTACAAGGAAATTGATACAGTAAACAATTAAGAGAATATCTCCTAATTATACAAGGATGTGTCAACTATATAAAATAAGAAAATAAATCCCCTAATTAATGAAGGAAATAAATCTCCTTGATTAATTAGGATAGCTCACGTCAACACTTCTCCTTAAGTTGGTGCATATATGTCACCAATGCCCAACTTGATAAGTGAGTCATAAAACACTCTTTCACAAACAACTTTTGTTAAGACATCCGCCAATTGATCTTCTGATTTTATGAAGGGAAGATAGATGATCTTGTTCTCAATTTTTTCATTGATGAAATGTCTATCCACCTCAACATGTTTGGTTTAATCATGTTGAACTGGATTATGAGCAATATTGATAGCTGACTTGTTGTCACAATGTAACTTCATTGGCTTTTCTAGTTAGAAACCCAATTCTGTCAAGAGTCTTCTGATCCATAATAATTCACAGACTCCTTGAGCCATTCCTCTATATTCTGCTTCTGCACTAGACCTGGAAGCCACATTTTTCTTTTTACGACGCCAAGTGACAAGGTTATCTCCAACAAATGTAAAGTAACCCGATGTAGAGCGTCTGTCTGTAATGGAACTAGTCCAGTCAGCATCTGTATATCCAATAACTTCAAGATTTCCATTCTTGGAGAACATTAGTCCCTTTCTAAGGGCTGACTTTAAGTACCTTAAGATCCGATCAACTGCATTCCTATGAGCAGGCTCGGCCCTGGGCCAGGGCAGGAAGTGCAACCGCCCTGGGCCTTGGCTCAAGGAGGGCCCAAAATTATTATTATTATTTTGTTGTCATTGTCAGGTCATATTTAACGGTTATATAAATTAAAAAAAAGACATCTTGATATAAAGTATTGCCAGCGGTGCTGGTTAGGCCTGATTCTTAATTTGAGTCTTTCCAAAGTTCAAATCCCAGCGTTGTGTTTCCTTCCTTATGCATTTTTTTTTGTCTCCAAATATTTTTTTAGTAGTTAATTTTTAGTTTTTTTTTTTTTTTTTTTTTTTTTTTTTTTTTTTTTTTTTTGGGTGGGGGGGTCCATTTTTTTTTTTTTTTAGAAATATATATAAAATAAGCAGGTTCTTTTTAGTACTCCAATGCTTTTATATACATCTCTCATTTTATAATATTATGTAAAGATATATATAAAAAACCACATAGATACATCTCACTTTATAATATTATGTAGAGATACATCTCTCATTTTCTTTTTGTCTTAGATCCTTTCTTCTCTATATATATAAAATAAATGATAATATGTAGATCTCATTTTATAATATTCTACATCCACATAGATTTTTCCTGTGTGGTGTACATATATATAGGGTCTATTTTTGGCGTTGCCCCAGGCCTTGAAAATCTCAGGACTGGCCCTGCCTATGAGAAACACTGGGAGAATGCATAAATTGACTAACAATACTTATAGCGTATGCGATATCTGGTCTTGTGTGTGCCAAATATATCTAATAAGGCGCTAATATTGTTCCTTATTGGTAGGCACCCGGTCTATGTCTTCACACAACTTAATAGGTGTGTCAGTAGACTTGCATCCAAGCATTCCTGTTTTAGTGAGTAGATCCATCATGTACTTCCTTTGAGACAAAAATATACCAGTTTTTGACATTGCTACTTCAATTCCGATAAAGTATTTCAAAGATCCTAAATCTTTCATCTAAAATTCATGAGACAAATACTTTTGTAGCTTTTGTTGCTCTCCTGTATCGTTCCCATTTAAGACGATGTCATCCACATAAACAATTAATGCAATGATTTTTCCTCCATCACGCTTCAAGAACAGGGTATGGTCTAAATTACTTTGAGTGTATTCAAAATTCTTTATGGACTTAGTAAATATGCTGAACCATGCCCTAGGAGATTGTTTTAACCCATATAATGATTGTTTGAGCTTGCAAACGTGATTTTTCTTGTCAAGAGCTATATTATATCCTGGTGGTAAATCCATCTATTCTTCCAAGTCTCCATGTAAAAAGGCATTTTAACATTGAACTGATGTAGTGGCCAATCTAGATTTGCTACTAGAGATAGTGTTGCTCTTGGCTACTGGGGCAAAGGCTTCTTAGTCATCCACTCCATATCTCTACGTGTACCCTTTCGCCACCAATCTAGCTTTATATCTTTCAATGGATACATCTGCTTTGAGTTTTATAGTATAGATCCACATGCATCCCACCGTCTTCTTTCCGTATGGTAAAGGCACGAGCTCCTATCTGGCATTCTTCTAGAGGGCTCGCATTTCTTCATTCATGGATTTTTTCCATTTTGAGTCTTCTAGTGCTTCATTCAAACTATTTGGGACATATATATTGGCCAACTACTTCACAAAGTGTACATTTGACTCTGCTAATCTACTTAGAGATATTTAATTATAGATGGGGTATTTCCCTTTAGCTTTAAGATATGCTTCATACTGTACTTAAGGTTTAACACGGTTCTTCCTTTATGGAAACTAATATATAGGGGTATATGTATTCTTTATGCCTTCTGAAATCAAATCATCATGATATATTTCATTAGCGCTATCAGTTTCAGGGGGAAATGTTACGTGAATAGCTCCCTCAGAAGGTGATTGGTGTGCTACTAAAGTTGAAGGCAGGTCTGAAGCGGGCAAAATCTCATAAATAGTTCAACTTTTTCCTTTTTGATTTTGGCAGCGTGGAGTGGACTGATCGTTTTCCACTAGTGACATAGGCTCAATGATCGGCAAAAAAGGACAAAGTGACCAGTCGTTTGGACACAGTGGCTTTACCTATAAAGGAATAAGGGGGTGACCGCTCTTTTTGGAGGGGCGATCGGTTGCTTTGATGCTGAATCTCTTCTGTTGTGAAAAAGTCCAAAAAAGTTGGGGTGTTTGGCTGTAGATTCTCCATCTATGCTTCTGGAAAACATATGTTGTGTTCTCGAAACACTACATCTATGAAGGTATATCCCTCCTGACTTGGAGGGTGATAACATCGGTAGCCTTTTTTATGGGGGGCATATCTAATAAAAACACATTTTTCTACACGGGTATACAATTTGTTGCATTGGTGATAATGTAAGTGTACGAATACAACACAATCGAAAATCCTTAGTTTAAGGTTTAGGGTGGGAGGTATTTGGAGATGGTGGTGAAGTGTTTGAAGAGGAGTTTGGAAATTCAAGATATTTGAGGGAATCCTATTTATAAGGTTAGTAGCAGAGAGGACAGCCTCGTCCCAAAAAAGAGTAAGGCATGTTGGCACCAAATAAAGATGCATGAACGACTTCTAACAAATGTCTGTTCTTTCGCTCAGCCACCCTATTTGGTTGTGGAGTTCATGGACATGAGCGTTGATGTATGATGCCATGATCCTATAAGTATTGTTTGAGATCATGATGAAGAAATTCTCCGCCATTGTCAAAACAAAAAACCTATATTTAGGCATGAAACTAAGTCGTCACCATTTTATGGAAGTGACAAACTATCGAGCTCCAGTAGGAGTAGCAATTTGAGCAGGCCCCCAAACATCAGAATGAATAAGGGACAAGGGAACCAAACTTTTATTTGTACTTAAAGGGAACAGAACACAAAGACTCTTAGCCAATTCACATGTATCACACTTGAAGCTGGAAATATCAAAACTGGAAAATAATGATGGAAACAACTTCTTTAGATAACCGAATGAGGCATGCCCAAGACGTTTATGCCATAACCAAACTTTTCTCTCTGCCTCTCAGAACTAGCTCCACTAGTTGTGAAAGCTTGACCAACCTTGGTCTCATTATTTGGTGCCCAGTCCAAGTAGTAGAGTTTGCCTCACCTAGTACCACAACCAATCGTCTTCCCCGTGAGGATGTCCTGAAAAACACAATGATTCAGCCAAAATGTTACAGTACACCAAAGTGGTAGTAAGTTGTGCAACATACAACAAGTTATGGTCCAAGGAGGGAACAAGCAATACAGAATCCAAATGTATGGATTTAGAGATAGATATAGAGCCCTCCCTAACCATAGAGGAAGCAGTATCATTAGCATTAGATACCACCGATGGAGTGGTTGATTTGCGACTAATAAGTTGGCTAGGATCAAATTTCATGTGATCCGTAGCACCCGAGTTAATAATCCATGTGGGCTTTGGAGAGGACGTATGAAAAGCCGAACCTTTGGTGGTGGACATAGAAGCACGAGCCCGGGTAGCTGGTTCAATAGGAGTGACCGCATGCTTTTGTGAGTCTGCAAGGAAGGAATGAATCGTAGAGGGTTCTGACATCACAGTGTGTGTTTGTGGTTAAGTAGTTGATTTGAGGAATTTGATTTGAGGACTTTGATGTATGAATTTGATTTAGGAAGTTGATTTGAAAGCTATGTGTTTAAGGAGTTTGATAAGAGGATTTGATTTGAGATGTGTAAGATTTGTATTTGAGGAATTTGATTTAGGGTTTGGGTTTAAATTTGAGGGTTTAGAGACAGCCTACGATTGATACCATGCTAAAATATGAATATGTTTTGAATGCTTTAGGTTAATTGTATTTTTCTTCATAAAAAAGTATATATAGGAGTTTACATGAGTACTTTACAAGGAAATAGATACAGTACACAATTAGGAGAATATCTCATAATTATACAATGATATGTCAATTATATAAAATAAGAAAGTAATCCCCTAATCAAGGAAATAAATCTCCTTGATTAATTAGTATAGCTCACGTCAACACTCTGATTACTCAAAATAGATCACTAATCTACCTAGATTGTCCATCCTTTTACTTTTTGAAATAATTTTCCAATTTACACTTTCTATGCTTTCAACAATGGAATCTAGACGATTACAAATGATGAGATATCTTTGATGATTTTGAGAAGGAAACATAAAGATTTTTGGAAGATTTTACTTTATTTATTTCAATTTTCAGCTTCGAAAATGTTCGTGACACGTGCGGTATGAGTGTTGAGCAACTATTAGATGTTTTTTTTTGGGTCAATAAGAACTTTCATTAAAGGAGAGCAATCCAAAAAGATTACAACTCAAATAAAGAGAAGCAAAGCCATGTGACAGAACATAAGTACATGCAAAGCAAATAAACTCAATATACCCCTACAAACTGCTACAAAAAAGAGCCCCACAGTATGGGAGTGGTACGATAATCCAACAACAGAGAGTCATGGCCATCTTGAACAACGCATGCTATATGGAGGCTGGAGGAGGGCAGGGAAGACCGTCATGATTTAAGACATGCACAAGAGAGGTGGGGGGCCTGGATACCCAAACTTCCAGACTTGACCTCGATAGTGCCAGCAGCGCAAGATGATTTACCACTTCATTGTTTTTCCTACTGGTCCATGCCTAGTTACAGTTTGAGAAATTGGAATTGCATTCACGAATTATAGACATAAGTGGGTAGAGACTCCATCTTCCATGCTTTATGTTTCCTTTCACGCTCTCGATCAGTTCTTTGGAGTTAGATTCAAAACAAACCTCTGATAAGCCCAGCTCAGATGCCCATTTGCAACCTTCAAAACCAGCAATTGCTTTAGCCATGATTGTAGATTCCACATGGAAAGATAGGCATTTCACTCCCACGAACTCACCATTTGTATTTCGTGCTATAAGACTTGCTCCCGCTCTGCTAGAAGATGCCCACCAAGTAGCATCAAAGTTAACTTTAATAACATGGGCTTCTAGTGCAGTCCAAGAGGCAGGATTTGGAGAGGGTCCATCGCAAGGCCTCCTCATATTCCTTCTATTATTCAATGCAGTCATCTCCTCCACTTGAGAAAGAATGGTTTTAATGGCTAAGAGAGGTTGAGGTTTGCATTGATAAAAAAATAAAACGATTACTTGTTTTCCAAATAATCCAACATGTAACAGCAATAATGCATAATATGTGCCATTTTTCCTCCTTAGTTTGGAGCCCATCCGTGGTACATTTCAGCAACCATTGGTTAAAGGTGGTAATTCCTTGCTTGTCAATTTTATAATTAAGAGAGCTGCCAAACCAAACGAATTTGACCCACAGGCAAGAGAGGAGCAAACGTTCAACAGATTCCTCATGAGCTTGGCATATGGGACATAACGGGGTGCCAGCAATTTTGCGTTTGTGGAGAGCCAACGTCGTAGGTAGTCTACCATGAGTCGCACGCCATAGAAAATTCTTTATCTTTGGAGGAACCTCAGCTTTCCAAATATTTTTCCATACCAAGGGGTCAATCCGTGATGAGGTGGAGGCGTTTCTGGCCGTGGTCTCAACCTGTAGGGCATGGATGGAATGGTACCCAGACCGAGTCAAACAATATGGGTAGAATATTTTTCAGGTTGTATTTCATTCTCCAAAAGAAGGTATTTATAGTACAAGGATGTAACCCTAGTAGTGTCAAACTAGGAAACAAGATAAAAACCTAATTACACAATATCTGTACAAAAAGGAAAAAAATATCATCCTAATAAACTAGGAAATAAATATACAAATTTATAAATAAACCCAATCCTAGACATGTATTTATAAAAAAACCCAAACACTATTTAAACATAGAAACACACCCAAAATCAACCCCAAAATCAACAATTGTATATTTTTTGGGTGTGTTTATAAATGGGTTTTGAGTGTGTGTAATGATGGGTTTTGGGTGTGTTTATAAAGTGTTTTGGGTGTTGGTTTTTTTTATAATTTCAGCCCTCATTTTGGGTGTTTTAGTGAAACTCCCTAAATAAATATCCTAATTAAGCTAGAATCTCACTAACACTCCCCCTTAAGTTGGAGCAAAGATGTCACGGATGCCCAACTTGTCAAGCGAGTTTAGAAAGACCGTAGTAGACACAGTTTTCATAAGAATATCTGCCAGTTGATACTCGGATGATATAAACGGAAAAGAAATAATTTCAACATCTAACTTCTCTTTAACAAAATGTCAATCAACCTCCACGTGCTTTGTACGATCATGTTGCACAGGGTTATGTGCAATTGCAATTGCAGCTTTATTATCACAATACAAATCCATGGGTTTTTGGGGTCCAAACCCAAGATCTCTCAACAATCTTCTCAACCATAGTAACTTGCACACACCTTGAGCCATCCCACGGTACTCGGCCTTGGCACTAGACCTAGACACCACTTTATGCTTTTTACTCCTCCAAGTAACAAGATTACCACCAACAAATGTGAAATACCCAGACGTAGAACGTCTATCAGTGACTGAACCAACCCAATCAGCATCCGTATACCCTTCCACATCTGTATGACCATACTTACAAAACATTAACCCCTTTCCAGGAGTTACTTACCTCAAGATGCGCATCACAGCACCTATATGATCTTCACTCGGAGAATGCATAAACTGACTTACTACACTCACTACATATGCAATATCAGGACGTGTATGAGATAAATAAATCAATTTCCCAACAAGTCGTTGATAACACTCTTTATCTGTAGGGACTTGATCAGGATACAATCCCAACTTATGATTCTGTTCACTAGGGGTATCAATTGGTTTACAATCTAACATTCCAGTCTCTGCAAGTAAATCCAAAATATATTTTCTTTGAGACAGAAAGATACCATGTTTAGATCTGGAAACTTCAATCCCAATAAAGTACTTCAAATCACCCAATGACTTCATCTCAAACTCAGAAGCCAGATACTTATGAAGATTTTGCATTTTTGCCTGATCATCTCTAGTCACAATCATATCATCAACATAAATAATTAAAGCTGTCAATTTACCTTTAACGCTTTAGAAACAAAGTATGGTCTGAGTTACTCTGCACATACCCAAATTTCTTCATAGATGTTGCAAAGCTCCCAAACCACGCTCTTGGAGACTGCTTCAATCCATATAAAGACTTCAACAACTTACACACAACACTCTCCTTAGAGGTTACAGGAATACCAGGAGGGAGATCCATGTAAATCTCTTCCTTGAGGTCACCATCTAGAAATGCATTTTTGACATAGAATTGTAATAAGGGCCAGTCGCGGTTAGCAGCTAGGGACAATAGTACACGCACAGTATTGAGCTTTGCCACTGGAGCAAGGGTCTCCAAATAATCCACTCCATAGGTCTGAGTATAACCCTTTGCTACCAATCTAGCCTTGTAACAGTCAATGGAACCATCAACTTTATGCTTCAAAGTAAATTGGGGCACTGGCAGGGCAAATGGAGGTATTGCATCGAACTCATCCACACAAGAATCACTGTCATTATTTTCAGATACAGGCGATTGGTCACTTACTTCAGTGTGACCGGTCGTTTTGACACCGAGAGCACCTACGTCATCTCTAGATATGGGCGACTGATCGAGTTTCAAAGGGCGATCAGTCGCTTCTTCACAGGGACCACAAGTTTCATCTTCAGATATGGGTGACAGGTCACTTGCTTCAGTGCGACAAGTATTTTCCTTCCCGAGAGCAGTATCTTCAAACACATCATCTTCCAATCCAAGACTCTCCAATTCACTCCTCATCTCCCCCTGAATTGGAGAGGAGGGAGAGACATAATAGGGCACTTCTTCATGGAAAGTCACGTCCAAAGTAACATGCACCTTCTAGGTAGGTGGATGATAGCACTTATAACCTTTCTGAGTAGACGAGTAACCAATAAAGACACATCGCAGAGCACAAGGATCAAGTTTACTCCGTTGATGAGAGTAGACATGAACATAGGCAACACACCCAAAAACTTTAGGAGGCAACTTGGAGATTGAGACAGGGGAAACATGGTCACCAGACACATCATGTGGAGTTTTGAAATCAAGAACCCGGCTAGGAGTACGATTAATCAAATATGCAGCAGATAAAACAGCATGCCCCCAAAGATGATGGGGAACAGACATATCCAACATAAGGGAGCGGGCAACTTCAAGTAATTGACGATTCTTACGTTCAGACACACCATTCTGCTGAGGAGTAAATGGGGTTGTCGTTTGGTGAATAATACCTTGAGCACAGAAGAAAGATGCCAAAGTGTTATTCACATATTCGCCTCCGTTATCAGTCCGGAATACTTTGACCCAAGCATGAAACTGAGTAGACACCATAGTACAGAACTCTGGAAGGATGGAAACAACATCATGTTTATTTTTCAGCAAGAAAACCTAAGTGAGTAAGGTACAATCATCAATAAATGTGATAAACCAACAAAATCCGTTCGAAGTAACGCGAGCCAGACCCCACACATCAGAATGCACTAAATCAAAAGGCTTTGCAGGTTTATTGTCACTCAAAGGAAACACAGTGCGATGGCTCTTGGCCAAAATTCATGTCTCACACTTAAAACTAGACTCATCACAAGAGCAGAATAAATATGGAAATAGACGCTTAAGGTAGCCAAATGAAGGGTGTCCCAAGCGACGATGCCATAACCAAATTTGCTGTTTGTTTTTGACACTGCAACTTTGAACAGTATTAACGACACGATCATGAACTGGTGCAGAAAGCAATGTCAAATAATATAACCCCTTATCCGTTTACCATGCCCAATCGTCTCGTGAGTCTTGAGATCCTGAAAAGAGCAATGTGTAGGATAGAAAGTAGCGGAAACATTAAGTGTATCAAGTAATCGACCAACAGATAACAAGTTATAATGAATATTGGGAACTAGTAACGCACGAGACAAGGACAAAGTAGGAGTGAGAGAGATTGTGTCCTCACCAGTAATTGGAGAGGGTAAGCCATTAGCACTAGTTATGTATAGGTCACAGGTGTTACTAGACAACTCATCAAAAAATTTAGCATCATAAGTCATATGATCAGAAGCACCAGTGTCAATTATCCAAGTATTGGAGCCAGTACCTGGAATATAATCAGAAACACACAAATTTGTAGAGGCAGCAGCAACAACACCAACAATGGAGTTATCACCCATAATTGCAGCAGAAATTCAACTGATCACAATAGAGTATACAGCGGAACACAGCAGAGGCACAAATACGGCAGATGCACGAAGACAGGCACGAACACAGAAGAGTACACAGCAGAACACAACAAAGGCACAAATACAGCAGATGCACGAAGACAGGAATGACACGAACACAGTAGATGCACGAACACTACAACACGACACACAAACCCAGGAGGGCACACACAGCACATGTAGAAAAAAAAATGGGGATAGAACACGAGTGGGCACAATACACAGGTCACCAGAAAAGTTGGCTCTGATGCCAAGTCAAACAATATGGGTAGAATATTTTTCAAGTTGTATTTCATTCTCCAAAAGAAGGTATTTATAGTATAAGGATATAACCCTAGTAGCGTCAAACTAGGAAACAAGATAAAAACCTAATTACACAATATCTGTACAAAAAGGAAAAAAATATAATCCTAATTAAGCTAGGATCTCGCTAACAGACGTCACTGAAAATTTGCCCTTTTTTCCCTAGGCCACACTAATCTGTCGTCCTTCCTTCCATTCCCTATAGGGATAAGCCGGATAGCAAGCTTCTCCTCATTAGTATTGAAGCTTGAATCGGGGTCAAGTTCCAAGTTATGGAATCCTAATCAATTAAAGTTTCCACCCTAGTGTTAGGGTCGAGCGAGGTCTGTAACTGGGGGTGGAGTTTACCATCGTGAAGGGAGGGAATCCAACAGTCCGTCCAAAGCTTTGCTTGTCTACAATTTAGAATTTGCCATCGAGCTCCTTGAAGAATGATCTTTCTTCCCTCCAGCAAGCTTGCCCAATCCCAAGAAGCACAACCACATTTCTTTGCCTCCAAAAAACTACATTTCGAGAAATAACGAGCCTTCAAGAGTTGAGCCCATTGGGAATTTGGCTCCGTGATTAATCTCCAACATTGTCTGGCTAGCAAGGCCAAATTGAAATCATTAAAGTCTCTAAATCCCATGCCTCCCTATTTCTTCGGAAGCCCCAAAGTAGCCCAACTGATCCAATGCACTTTTGTCTAATCCTGTTTTTGACCCCACCAGAACTTAGCAATCTCTTGCTCCAACTTTTGATAGAAAGATTCGGGAAACTTAAAAATTCCCATGGGGTATGTTGGAACTACCTGTGTTACTGATTTGATCAAAATGTCCCTTCCAGCTTGTGATAATAAATCTTGCTTCCATCCTCCAATCTTTCGCAGCAACCTTTCCTTCAAAAAATTTAGAGCCTCACTCTTTGACCTGCCCTAAACCTTGCTTCCATCCTCCAATCTTTCGCAGCAACCTTTCCTTCACAAAATTTAGAGCCTCACTCTTTCTCCTCTCTTTTGCTGGCTATTGGTAGCTTTATTTCTCTGGTTATGGCTGTGGGTAGCCTAGTCCTATGCTTGTACTTCTCTTTTGTTTGGAATGAAAGTTACTCCTCAAAAAAAAAAAAAAAAAAAAAAAAAATAATAATAATAATAACTCTTTGACCTGCCCCAAAGAGTAGGCAGGCCCAGGTATTTCCCAATATCCGTAACAATTGACATACCCAGGATAGTTCCCAGATCTCTTCTGACGTGACGATATGCAGTTTTCGGCAACCGTCAATTTATGAGATGTTTTTAAACAGAATTTATGTGTACAACATAAGATGTTACAGTCTACTTCCTCTTTTATTAAGTAGCAACCACCTGATCATCTGTTTTGGAAGCTCAATTTTGATGGTTTCGTTCTTCAGTCGGGCAAAGCTGTGGCGGGTTTTGTTATTCAAAATCAGCAAGGTAGAGTCAAATTAGCAGGCGCAATGCAATACCTTTGGGTTTTTGTATGGTTCTTGAAGCGGAGGCAACTAGCCTGAAATTTGGTCTTTCTTGTGCACAACGGTTTGGCTTTTCTAACATCCTTATTGAAGGAGATTTGCAAACTTTACTTTCGCCTGCTTCAGTATCATCATGTTCCTCCTTGGTGTATCTTATAAAAGCATTTCAAAATTTCGCCGAGACGAAAGGAAAATGAAGACCACAAAGGATGACATTTGGAATGATCCAAGTATAATAATCTCATGGCATAAGTATCGAGCAACTGAAATATACATGAGTCATGTGACTGTTAAATGCCGTTGCACACCACATCTCCAATGTTTCTGTAATGAAAGCTCTTTTTTTGTTGATTTCATGACCTAAAACATCAAAAATAACCAAAACCTTGTGAATCTACACCTAAGTCCCCATCCTCGAAAAGAATACAACAGTGGCAATTATACAACTGCCAAAAATTAAAAAATGGACAAAGATATGGTCACCAATAATCACCACAAGAACAGGTTCCATTCTTGAAATGATGGAACCGATGCATATCACGCACTATGATCTCCCGACCAGTTACAAGTGATATGTACTTGGTTGCGTTATGGCAATCACCACAAACTCGTAGATTCTTCCGAATGTGTATGGTTGTACCAGGAGTAGTATTCAAGAGTCCAAATGCAATAGCCAGCTTCTCACTGTGGCTATTGAGTAACTGCTCCTTAACATCAGCTTCCACATCATGAATTGAATTGGTGTCGGGCACATAACCTGCAGCCTTGATCTCATCTCCCAGAGTCTCCAGAAAAGTATAAATCCTTTTGGATTGGGGATGGCTTGTGCTTCCAGAGTAGAAAGTGTGAACCTCATTCCTTAAATCCACTAAACTGCAGCCTGGAGTTTTCTGAAGCCCTTTCTTCTCCATCATTTTTCGCACTTTGGCAACTTTGTCCCACAATGAAGCCGTGGAATATATGTTAGCAAGCAAAACATGGTACCCACCTTCAACAGGATTTAACTCAAATATCTTGTCTGCTGCCCTTTCACCCAACTCAACATTTTTATGAATTCTGCAAGCCCCCAACATTGCACCGAAGACAGTAATACCAGGCTCCATAGGCATCTTTTGAATAAAATCCCAAGCCTCACTTAGCTGGCCAGCTCGACCAAGAAGATCAACCATGGCCCCATAGTGATCCATTGCAGGCTCCAAGCCATAATCTTCTTTCATGCTTGCAAAGTATTGGAGACCCTCTTCTACTAAACCTGAGTGACTGCAAGCAGAGATCACACACAGGAATGTAATATCATTTGGCTTTATTGTTCCTTTTTCCATTTCATTGAACAGATCTACAGCAGCTTTTCCCAACCCATTTGTTCCATATCCATCGATCATAGCGTTCCATGTTGTCACATGCCGCTCATCCATCATGTCAAAAAGTTTTCTGGCAGTGTGGACAGCTCCACATTTTGCATACATGTCAACAAGAGCAGTCATCACAAAAATGTTCTTGTCAAAACATGTTCTTATAACAAGTCCATGAATCCACTTAGCTTGTCGTGTAACTGATAACTCCGCAAGAGCAGGAATAACACTCACCATGGTAAATGAATCTGGTTTCATATTTTGAGATTGCATCTGACAAAAGTGACTTAAAGCCTCACTGACGCGTCCATTCTGTGCATAACCTAATATCATGGTATTCCATGAGACAAGGGTTTTACCTTGCAAGTTTTTAAATATCTTTGCAGCAATATCAACTCTCTTACACTTGGAATACATGGACATCAAAGAGTTCATTACTGACACATCAGATCCAAGTTTCAGCTGATCCACTAATTTATGTACGAACTTTCCCCGTTCAAGATCCCCCAAATCTGCACAAGCATGTAAAGCTTCCATTATAGTAACGTTGGTTGGTTGAAAGCCTTCATCCAACATCTTCTGGAAAATCTCCATTGCCTCCTCTGCATCTTCATTTTGTACATACCCGTCTATCATGGAATTCCACGAAACGGCAGTCTTTTGTTTCATCCTATTGAAAATCAACCGAGCAGTCCCTACTGATCCACATTTCGAATACATGTCTAGAAGAGCCGTAGAAATGTTTACAAGTGATTCAAAACTGGCTCTTAGAACATACGCATGAATTGACTTTCCAATTATCAAAGACCCATAATCTGCAACAGCAGGTAATAGAGTGACCAAAGTAATCGAATCAGGCTTCTGGCCTTCCTCCTGCATTCTTATAACCAACTCCAAAGCTATCTTGGCCAACCCATTTTGTGCATAACCAGCAATAATCGTATTCCAAGAAACCAAGTCCCTCTCAGGCATTCTATCGAACATCTTATATGCCTCATTAATCTGCCTACACTTAGCATACATATTCACTACCGCTGTCATCGCAAACAAATTCGTGGCAAACCCACTACTTATTAGATGCGCATGAATCTCCTTCCCCCTCCTAAGATCAGCATTATCCCCACAAACTTTCAACAAATAGGTAAAATTATACACAACTGGTCTAACACCATCAGACTTCATTCGGCAAAAGAAAGACATGGCATCACTTAAAGACGAGTTCTTGGCATACCCTTTTAGCAGAGTGTGGTAAAAAACCTCAAGTTTATCATCAACGGTCTCGAAAACCCGAAAAGCCTCACTTGGGCTGCCATAATTACAGAACAAGCTGACGAGCTTGGTCTGGAACAAGTGCTCATTGTAGAGGCCGTTCTTGATAATGAGAGGGATGATTTGGTTTAGCTCTTTTATGGAAGTGCAGAGCTCAAGGAGAATGGCTGCAGGGTGCGTGTAGACATGAGAAGGAATGTGGGTTCTTTGGGAAAGGGTGTGAAAGGCTTGGAATTGTGGGGCTGAGATTGGAGGGCGAGCTCTAGAGGGAGTTGGTGGTGGGGGTGTTATGGAGTTGGTTATGGGGAGCGGAGCTGTGAAGTGCAAGAGCTGTGAGCTCATCTCTTTGTGCCTCTCTACGTCTCATGAGATGAGTGTCTCTGGGAAAAGGGCTTCTGTGACATGAGGATAGAATAATACATTTCACAAAGAACATGCTTAATTGGGGTTATAAAAATAAAAAATAAAAAAAGCTTAATTGAAATAAAAATATATAAATAAAATAAAATAAATAAATAAATGGTAAACTATAGTAAACCCCCCAACCTATAGGGTCATTTACGAGTCCATACTCAATTTTGGAGACATTTATGGGTACATACTCAACGTTGCGAAAAACCTACAAATTGCCTCATCCGTTAGCGAGTCTGTCAAGAAATCTGTTATCTGCCTACGTGGCAAATGTGGGTTCCATTTTTTAATGAGGTGGACTTACAGGTGGACAAATAAATAATAAATAATTATATATTTTTCAAAACTAATTTTAAATCATTAAAATTATTTTTAAAAATCTCTCTCTCTCTCTCTCTCTCTCTCTCTCTCTTTGAACCCAGACCCATAACTCTCTCTCTCTTCGTCCATAGCCTTTACAACCAACCCTGAATTCCAATTGCTTCCAGGATGCGCCTAGCAAGCTGAATGTCCTTGGGCACGATTGTCACCCTCTTGGCATAGATGGCGCACGGGTTGGTGTCCTTGAACAGACCCACCAAATAGGCCTCTGCAGCTTCCTGAAGTGCAAGCACAGCATGACTCTGGAACATGAGGTCAGTCTTGAAGTCTTGAGTGATTTCAGGAACCAGGCGTTGGAAAGGTAGCTTGCGGATCAGAACTCAATAGCCACCCCTCCCCCACCCCAAAACCGAGCAGCCCCATACAACGTAGCTCACCCACCATGCTAACCTCCATCCTCCTCATATGCCAATCCAGCCACCCCAACCGATCCATCTCTCTTGCTTGACAAATCAAATTCCTCAAAGGACAACAAATTCATTTTCTCAACTCTCGTATATCTCCTGCAGTTCCATACAATGACAAGAAAAAATGAAAATAAAAAAAAGGAGCCGATCTATCTTCATTCTTTGGGTACATGTTAGAATATACGGAATGTATTACTTGATTGATAGGCAATAATCTTGTATTTACTCTATATAGCCCTTTGATTGTAGAATCATATCACCTTGATTGTAGGATCAAGAATATCTGCAGCTTTACTACTTACCTTGTACAACCTTGCTTAGGCATTATATTAGCTTGTCCTTTGTAAATGAATGATATAACAAATTCTAGAGTTTTCCTCTCAAACTCTCGTTGCCTAGCCTCCCTATTTTTTCATGGTATCAGAGCACCGATCTCGGTGACTCTTATATCTTCATCACCTTCCGCAACCTCTAGAACATGGCTAGCGACGAAGAAACACCGAAACACACAGGCCACAAGCCTAAATCTCAAAACACAGAGACCAACGATGTCTCTGATCCCTTTTATATACATCATTCAGACCAAACTGGTCTGACACTTGTCACTCAACTCTTGGATGGTGACAATTATGCAACTTGGAGTCTTGCAATGATAATGACTTTGGAGGCAAAGAACAAACTTGGCTTTGTGGATGGGACGATCAAAGCACCAGCCACAACCAGCGCCAAATACCCCATCTGGAGAAGATGTAACCAGATGATCAAGTCTTGGATCCTCAACTCCATCAGCCCCTCTCTGGCTAACACCATCATCTATGCAAATACAGCTGCTGAGGTTTGGCTAGATCTCAAAGAACGCTTCTCTCAAGGGAATATTTCCAGGATTTTCCAGATTAAACGAGATATTGCCGAACTTCGACAACATCAGCAGTCTATATCCGTGTATTACAACACATTGAAAGGTCTTTGGGATGAGTTGGGATCATATGCTCCCGTGCCATCATGTAAGTGTAATCCCATGTGTGCTTGTGGAGTCCTAAAGGAACTCACTGACAGAGAACAACAAGAGCGAGTTCTTCAATTCCTTATGGGCCTGAATGAAACCTACTCCGCAGTTCGCACACAAATCCTACTAATGTCACCCTTACCTTCTGAGCGTAAGGTATATGGGATGCTTGTACAAGAAGAAAAACAAAGGCAAATAGCTGAAAGTGGGGAGAATAATTCTTCTCATGCAATGAATATATCGAGAAACACCAATAAGCAGCCTCGCCCAGTGCAAGGCGAAGATAACAAAAACCTTCACTGCACATACTGTGATGGTGACACTCATACCATGGATCGATGTTATTATCTTCATGGATTTCCAACCTGGCACAAGTTGCATGGAAAGACAATCAAGCCACCAAATAGAAACAAGCGTGCAGCAGCCAACAATACCAACAAGGAGGGAGCCAAGACATCTGCTGCCAAGACCCCTGAAGATTTAAAATTTACAGCTGATGAAGTGTGCCAAATCAAGGCAATCCTTCGAGGTGATGGTAAAAATCAAGCATTTGCGAACGCAGCAGGTATGACTAAACCTCAGTGCTATGCCTTTGCCACGGATCATCCAGATTATTGGATCATTGATAGCGGTGCAAGTGATCATATTACTTTTTCCTCCAAATTAATTCCAGAAAAGTCCTCACCTTTTAATTCCTCAGTCACCATGCCAAATGGAACACAAGCAAAAATCACTTGTGTTGGTTCTATCAATCTCACCTCTCACCTAAAATTACATGATGTTCTTTGTGTCCCCGGATTTCGAGTTAATTTGTTGTCTGTTAGCAAACTCACTCGTGATCTCAATTGTTTGGTCTTATTTTTTCCCACCTTTTGTATCCTGCAGGATTTAACCTCGAGGAAGATGATTGGATTGGGGAAGGAGCGTGATGGTTTGTACTATTTAGTACCAGTCACCGAAGATTTTCTTCGTGAGCATAGTCCCACAATTGCGAATGTTGCACAACCCTCTTCAACAACAAATCTCTGGCACAAACGATTGGGTCACTTGTCTAGTGGTCCATCTCGAGTTTTATCTCAAACTATCCCTTCAATTTCTTTTGATTTTAATTCCCATTGTGATGTATGTCCTCTTGCTAAACAAACCAGATTACCTTTTCGCTCAGTTCCATTTCAACAAATAAAGCTTTTGATTTAATACATTGTGATGTTTGGGGTCCTCATCACTTGCCTTCTCACTCAGGTGCCAGATATTTCTTAACAATTGTTGACGATTATTCGCGTTTTACTTGGATATTTCTCATGAATTTTAAGTCTGAGACACAAGAAAAATTGAAAGTTTTTTTTTGCCTATGTTTCCACACAGTTCCATTGCACTGTCAAGCAAGTCCGTAGTGATAATGGAACAGAATTTTTGTCCATGCGTCCATTTTTTAACCAATTGGGCACAATCTGGCAACATTCTTGCCCCCACACCCCTCAACAAAATGGGGTTGTGAAACGAAAGCACAGACACCTCCTTCAAATTGCACGTGCATTACGTTTTCAAGCAGGCCTACCCCTTAAATTTTGGGGGGAGAGTGTCCTCACCGCTGCATATTTAATCAATCGTGTGCCCACCTTAGTGCTTTCGAGAAAGACTCCACATGAAATGCTCTACAAAATTTTCCCCTCCACCCATTTGCGTGTCTTCGGATGCCTTTGTTATGCCACCCAAACAGCCCACACACAAAAGTTTGATGCTAGGGCTCGTAGATGCATTTTTGTGGGTTATCCTTCTGGCCAAAAGGCATATCGCCTATTTGATCTCAAAACACATCAATTTTTCTCCAGTCGGGATGTAGTTTTTCATGAACATATATTCCCATTCTCAGATATTTCCCATGACACAAAACTAGAGCTACCTCCAGCTCCAGTTTTACCGTCCATCCCAATCACTCAAGACACCCATTCACTTGAGCCCAACCAATCAAACCCCTCATTTGAGCAACCCATTGTTGATCCACATACCCAACCTTTGTCTTCACCCGTACCATCCAATTCTTCTCCAATTACCATTCTTCATGACTCTTCCTCATTACCTACACCTAACAGCCCTTCTACACCGACACCTCCACCACAAGAACTTCGCCGTGGCATGCTCTCCAAGATACCCAACGTGCGCCTTCGAGACTACGATTGCTCACAGGGGACGACCCCCAAACCCAATTCAACATCTTCTTCGAGGTCAGGTACTCATTACCCTCTTTCTAAATATCTTTCTTCTTCTCACTTGTCACCATCACATCGCACTTTTATCCACAATATCACTACATGTGTTGAACCCACCTCCTTTGCTCAAGCTAATCTTGATCCCAAGTGGCGTGAAGCCATGAAAGTTGAATTGCAGGCCCTTGCACACAATCAAACCTGGACGCTTACACCTTTGCCTCCTGGTAAGCGGGCCATTGGCAGCAAGTGGGTATACAAAATCAAACACAAGTCTGATGGTACAATCGAGCGCTACAAAGCACGGTTGGTGGCTAAAGGCTATACACAAACTGAAGGTTTGGATTACTATGAGACATTTGCCCCCGTTGCCAAGTTAGTTACTGTGCGTTGCTTACTGGCTGTTGCTGCTCATCGTGACTGGCCTCTCCACCAATTAGATGTGCAGAATGCTTTCCTCCATGGTGATTTGGAGGAAGAAGTCTATATGGTGCCACCACCAGGCATGCGTCGACAGGGGGAGAACTTGGTTTGTCGCCTTCGGAAATCTCTATATGGTTTGAAGCAGGCCTCTCGCCAATGGTTCTCCAAATTTACACATGCGATACAACAAGCTGGTTTTCGTCAATCAAAGGCTGACTACTCATTATTCACACGTATAAATGGTCCCTCTATCACTGTGGTACTCATTTATGTTGATGACATGATCATCACAGGCAATGATCCTGCTGCCATACAACACTTGAAGGATTTTCTTCACCATACATTCCGCATCAAAGACCTTGGCCTGCTTAAATACTTCCTTGGCATAGAAGTGGCACGTTCAAAGAGTGGTGTTTCCATTTCACAAAGGAAATACGTTCTGGATATCCTTGATGATGTTGGTTATTTTGGAGCAAAACCTGTGGAGTTTCCCATGGAACAAGACCTGAAATTACAGCCAATGGTTGGAGACTTACTGAAAGATCCGACCCAATATAGGAGAATTGTGGGAAGACTTATTTATCTCACCATAACAAGGCCCGATATCTCATTTTCAGTTCAAGTTCTAAGTCAATATATGAATCAGCCACGTAAACCTCATTTCGATGCGGCTATGCGTGTGTTGAAATACTTAAAAGGCACAGCAGGTCAAGGATTGTTTTTCCCATCACAAAATTCATTGCAGCTGCGTGGTTATTGTGATGCTTCATGGGCATCATGTCCTACGACAAGAAGATCAGTTATACGATACTGTGTTTTCTTAGGAAATTCATTGATTTCTTGGAAGTCAAAGAAGCAATCCACCATCTCACGCTCATCAGCGGAGGCGGAGTACAGATCCATGGCTGCAATAACGTGTGAACTCACATGGATTCGATATGTGTTACAAGATCTTCAAGTGTATCATTCGGGACCAGCTCACGTGTATTGTGACAATCAAGCTGCAATACACATTGCGGCCAATCCCGTTTTCCATGAACGAACCAAGCACATAGAACTCGATTGTCACTTGGTTCGAGAAAAATTACAAGCTGGACAAATCACGACTCACTACACACCCTCAAAGCATCAGATCGCAGACTTACTCACTAAGGCTTTGGGTAAAGGGCTATTTCACGCACACCTTCGCAAGTTGGGCATGCACAATATCCACGCTCCAACTTGAGGGGGAGTGTTAGAATATACGGAATGTATTACTTGATTGATAGGCAATAATCTTGTATTTACTCTATATAGCCCTTTGATTGTAGAATCATATCACCTTGATTGTAGGATCGAGAATATCTGCAGCTTTACTACTTACCTTGTACAGCCTTGCTTAGGCATTATATTAGCTTGTCCTTTGTAAATGAATGATATAACAAATTCTAGAGTTTTCCTCTCAAACTCTCGTTGCCTAGCCTCCCTATTTTTTCAGTACACAAGATCAATCAGAGAGGGGGTGTCATTGGGTTGTTTTACAAAGGATCAATAAAATAAATAATAAATAAAGAAAAATTCAGTCCAACCCCCTTTTCTCCCTTTCCCATTCCTCCAAAAACTCCGACGCACATCCCCACCCCTTCCGCCACCACCTCCCCATTTCATACTGTAGATCACCACTCATATCCCCTGACCACCTCATCTCCTAGATCCAAACGCTCTCTCTCTCTCTCTCTCTCTCTCTCTCTCTCTCTCTCTCTCTCTCTCTCTCTCTCTCTCTCCAGCTACAGTCCCAATCTTCATATCCTATCTTTACAACCCACACCAGATTCGAGCCCCACCACGTTAGTCTCCCCCAATGCCTTATCTATCTCTCTTTGCAACCCCCATGACCACACGATGGGTTTCTGAGATGACGAAGACAACGGCTATGAAGACGATGGTGACAACGACGAGGAAAATGATACCAGTTTGCTAGTTTCCTATTTCCCAATACAATCACAGACAAATCTGGGATTGGTTGTTAATTATAGACATGAATTTTTAGAATAATTGTGGTTAATTAAATCTGGGTGGGGGAAGAAATCTAGGGGAAATAAATTGGGAGGAAGGGGGAAGAAATCGGGAGAGAGAATCTGGGTAGGGTTTTTTTTTAAAATTTTTTATTTAATATGTTTAATTTATTACAATAATTTAAAATATTAATTTTTATTAATTTTTGTCCACGTGGAACCCAACATGGGTCCCACAAATGCCACGTAAGCAGATAACGGATTTCCTGACAAACTCGCTAATGGAGGGGGCAATTTGTAGGTTTTCTGCGATGTTGAATATGTACCCATAAATATCCCCAAAATCGTGTATGGACTCGTAAATGACCCTATAGGTTTGGGGGTTTAATGTAGTTTACCCATAAATAAATAAACATGTTCTACGGTTCACTTCAAAATTAGTGCTTTTGGCAAAAAATAAAAACAAAAAAAGTGTCTACCAAAAAATTAATGATATTTTATTATACATATTGAATCACGGGATGATTGTATTTTTTCTATCAATAATGCGGGCCCCAACATGTATTATAAAAGAGTAATGCTACACTTACCACAAGTATTACAACACGATAAATTATCCACAAGGAAGTTGTGGTATGGTAGCATTTTATAAATATAGCCTACTCGGGTTGTTACACATCAAAACTGGTTCGGAGAAGAAGCTAAATGGTCGGGCCAACTTTGCTAAGTTAATGAAGGTACATGAGTCAGCATGAAGGCCTGGGCTCTCTCAAAAAATAAATATTAAAGTATGCTTGTTGATGCAGAGAAACAAGTTTTGCTTGGACGATATTTTGAATTACCTAGGGAGCTTCACCTAGGAAACAACACCAAAACAACTTTTATGGTTTTGCCTTCTTCTTCTTTTTTCACCAACCCACTCACCAAAATAAATGGCAAGTGGGTATTTCTCATTGGTTGCTGGTTCGAACGCTCAACCTACCTCATTTTCTCTATAAATAAAAGGAGAAGTTATCAACAATAAGGACGACTCAACCAACAATCAAAACCCGAACTCAATGTCTCGACTCAACACTTGCAAATCTGTCAATAGATTTCATCAAGCTTGAATAACCCTTCCTCTCCTTTGAATTCCCAATTTCTGTTTGTCATCTATGCTTTGCCAACTCAATTGCTTGGTATGATTTTGAGCTCCCCCCCTCCTCCTCTAAAAAGAATTCATAATCGCTCGATTATTAGTCATTTATTTTGGGCACAATCTTTCATCTATAATCTTAGTTTGTTGAGTTCTCATTGCCAACAGTGGCATGCTCGCAAATGCATTCACACAACAAATCCCGGCGGCCATGTACACATAGCCGTTGGATTTTTGGGGCACAACACTATTAACACTTTCTAGTAAATCCAAATTTTCCATATTTTTTTTAGGACCTTTCCTACTGAGAGGGGGGGATAATATACTAAACTCGCACACACTACACAGATGCTAGGACTCGAACCCAGGACTTTGCTTGGTGAAGTAATTGCTCCAAACCACTACACTAGTTGATCCTTTGCCAAATTTCCCATCTTAAACGTATGCTACAAGGCATTTCATATAACATCCAAGGAATGGATATTGTATTGCTATTTGTTGAGCAATTTGGCAAGTGTATGAATCACACAAGTAGTTTAGGGTTAATAAAGTATCGGTAGTCCAAAAACACGGAAATTTCGATGGAAATATCGGGATATTATTAATATCGATAAAAATTGAATAAAAACCACAGAAATTGTAAGAAAAACTTGAAAATTTTTATTGAAACTTTGGATGATGCTTATTTAGTGAATTATCTATAGTTTATCACAAAAAATTGGAAGGAAATGCATTGTATGATGGATTTAACTAATTTAAGTTGATTATATTGCGAGCTGACAAACACTGTGAGTGTAGAAAATATGTAGTAATTGATGAAAGAAGATTAAACACACCACAATCATTTATATTTAATAATTTACTACATTGCATGGTAAAATACATAAGTGACTTAGTACCACATAGAGTTCCTATGAGGTTCAAATTTTTCATTATCTTCATCATCTCTATGTGTAGAGTAAGTGTATTGTGAATAGTATGTTAGGATTTTGGCTCGTCAAATATGTCCTAGTTGGTTTAGGATTGTTTTAGGAAAATTAGAGATATACCAATTATTGTCCTAGAAGGATTAGGAAAGAATTCCAGTTTTCCTTATTCAATTTGGGTTTGGATTTCCAGAAGTCTATTAGTATTTGGATAAGTTTAATTTCCTAATCCACTTAGGAATAGGAATTCAATTAGCCTTAGGACATGTAAGCCAACTCTAAATTTATAAATAGGGTGTGGCAAGGCTTATTTTAAGCGAGAGGAAAAACAGCCAGAGACAGCCAAGAGTTTTGAGATTCGTTCTAGGGTTGCAAAAGTTCTGTAATCTCTATTATTAATCAAAGGAGCGATGATTTCTCTACCTAGAGAAATCACAACTGGACGTAGGCAAAAGTTCTGCCGAACCATATAATTCTTGTGTGTTTCTAAGTGTTTTAATATTTGCTAGTTTAGTCTATTGCCGTTGGTTACATCAAAGAACAAGATCTAGAAGGCGGGTTATTTAACAAGTGGTATCAAGAGCCTAGGTTAAGGGTTCTACGATGTCTAAAGGGAAGATGAATGCGGATCTAGGACCTGCGTTAAAGCCCTTTGACGGCAAGGATAACTTCACGGATTGGCAAAGGATGATGAAGAACGTAATGATACAACAAGATTTGGATGATGCACTCAGCGGTGAGAAGCCGACAGGCATGACAGACGCAAAATGGACCAAGGTTCTCAAGAAGGCCAAGAGTTCCATCGAGATCCATCTCACAAGATCAGTTCGGTCACACATCACCGAAAAGATGACTGCCCAAGAAGCATGGGAAAAGTTGGAGAATGTTTATATGGGCAAAACCGTGTCCAATAAACTTTTTCTAAAGGATGAACTATTCGGACTTCGACTGGAAGAAGGAGGTGATATTGAAGATCACGTATGCAGGTTCCAGAATTGCATAACTAATCTTCGAAAGGTCGAAGAAACTTACAAAGATGATAATATGGCTATCATCTTGCTGAGGTCTCTACCTTCGTCTTTCAAGCACTTTCGAACAACTCTAATGTTTGGAAAAGAGTCCTTGAAGCTTGAAGACGTGATTCAAGCTCTTCAGTCATATGCTAAACTAGATGATATAACTGAAAGCTCTCAAGGCCTTTATGCCAAAAGCAAGGAGAGGGGGCGGGGAAAAGACAAAGGAAGAGAAAACAGGCAACAGAGGTAGGTCAAAATCCAAGAAGAAAAAGGAAAAGAAGGAAGGTTGCTTCAAATGTGGTTCAGCCGATCATTGGAAGAGGAACTGCAAGATTTGGAAAGAGAAGAAAGCCAAGAGGGAAGGAAGCTCAGGTTCAGCTAGTGCAGTCACCAAGCATGAGAGTGACGGGGAGCTTCTTTCAGTAACATCAGGCTCCAAGGCTTTCACAAATTGGATTTTGGATACCGGATGCACTTTTCATATGTGTGCAGTAAGAGAATGGTTCGATACTTACAAAGAAGTCAGCAGCGGGGAAGTTTTAATGGGGGACGATTCTTCATGTCCTGTAAAAGGAATCGGCACTGTTTGAATCAGAATGTTTGATGGGATGATACGAGCTTTGGGGAACGTTAGATATGTCCCTAGACTAAGAAAGAATTTGATTTCCTTGGATACTTTAGATGAGGCCGGCTATGGGTATGAGTCTAAAAAGGGAAGACTCAGGATAGCCAAAGGATCACTGGTGGTAATGTGAGGTGACCTAAAACCCAATAAGCTGTATAAGTTAATTGGGACCACCATAGTCGGGGGAGCAGCTGTTTCTGTAAATCAAGGTATAGAAGACAAGACTGAACTCTGGCATCATAGGCTTGGGCACATAAGCTAGAAAGGGTTGCAAGAATTACACAAGCAAGGCCTGTTGGAGGGCGTGTCATCTTGCAAACTGGACTTTGTGAATATTGTGTTCTTGGAAAGCAAAGGAAGGTATCATTCACGAGTAGCAGTGCAGATAACCGAAGCAAGGAGCAACTCAGCTATATTCACTCAGACGTTTGGGGCCCTGCACCAACCAAATCAAATGGTGGAGCCAAGTATTTTGTTACTTTCATGGATGATTTTTCTAGGAAGGTTTGGGTTTATTTCATGAAGCAGAAATCCTAGGTTTTTGCAAAGTTCAAGGAATGGAAAACAGAAACCGAGAATCAAACTGGAAGAAAGATCAAGTACCTGAGAAGTGACAATGGAGGTGAATATACAAGTAATGAGTTTACCGATTACTGCAAGCAAGAAGGCATCACAAGGCACTTCACAGTAAAGAAGAATCCCCAACAAAATGGAGCTGCTGAGAGGATGAACCGAACTCTCATGGAGAGAGAGAGAGAGAGAGAGGAGCATGCGATTTCATGCAGGATTGCCTGATAGTTTTTGGGCAGAAGCTGTTAATCATGCAAGTTATTTGATTAACAGATCACCATCTACAGTTCTCGGTTTTAAGAGTGCAGAAGAGGTATGGTCTGAGAAGCCGGTGGATTATTCCAAGCTCAGGGTATTCGGTTGTAGTGCTTATGCACATATTCCAAGCGATGAAAGGTCCAAGCTCAAACCAAAGTCTACACATTGCATATTCTTAGGTTTTGAGAAAGGAGTGAAGGGTTTCAAGCTTTGGGATATCAACAACAGGAAAAAGGTTGTCAGCTGAGATGTTGTCTTTGATGAGACAACCATGCCTCTGAATAAAGTCGAGAGTAGTAGGGAGAAGAAAGACGATGTTGAAATTGAAGCAACAAATATTTCGTTAATCAGTTCAGATGAAGAAGAAGCTCAGGTGGAGCAAATTGAGCAAGATGTCGAATCTGATGGTTTTGAGGAAGAAGATGAGCATCAGCATCGTTCACCAGTTAGGAATCAGGTGGAGCAAGAAACAGGGCAAATTGAAGGCATTCTAATCCGCCAGACATCCCAAAGGGTTAGAACTCCAACCAACAATCCACTTGCATTCCAGAGATGCATAGCACTGGACAAACCTAATTGGAATAAGAAGAAACCTGACAGGTTTGGGTTTGACCAAGACGAAGTTAATTATGCTCTCAACATTAGTGAAGGAGATCCAAGTACTTATCGAGAAGCTATAGCAAGTGATGAGCGAGATAGTTGGATAAGTGCTATGACAGAAGAAATGGAGTCTCTTTACAAGAACTCTATTTGGGAGTTGGTTCCTAAACCCAAAGACAAAAAGCTAGTTGAATGCAAGTGGATATTTAGGAAAAAGGAAGGACTACATGAACAAGATGCCGTGAGATTCAAAGCAAGGCTCATGGCTAAAGGGTACTCACAAAAGGAAGGGGTGGATTATGATGAGATCTTTTCACCCGTAGTTAAGCATACTTCTATCAGATTGCTTTTAGCAATGGCAACTCAGCATGACATGGAGATTGAGCAGATGGATGTGAAGACAACGTTTCTTCATGGGGATCTAGAGGAGACAATTTTCATGGCTCAACCAAAAGGGTTTGTTGAATATGGGAAAGAAAACCTAGTATGTCGACTAAGGAAGTCCCTGTATGGCCTAAAACAGTCTCCAAGATAGTGGTATAAGAGGTTCGATTAATTCATGCTGAAAATCAATTTTAGAAGATGTTTATATGATTGTTGCGTGTACTATCTTGTATTCCAAGATGGGATGGTCATATTGCTATTGCTATATGTGGATGACATGCTAATCGCTTATCAAGACAAGTCTAGAATTCAAGACTTGAAGAAGATGTTGAGCGAGGAGTTCGACGTGAAGGATCTAGGTGCAGCACAGAAGATCCTTGGCATGGAGATTCAGAGAGATAGGACCGCTGGAAGGATCTGGATATCACAAGCCAAGTATATTTGGAAGGTTCTTGAGAAGTTCAACATGCAAGAAGCAAAGGCAGTTTCGACTCCTTTGGCAGCTCACTTCAAGTTAAGTGGGCAACAGTGTCCTAAGTCCGAGGAAGAGCAGCAAGTAATGGAGAAGGTGCCTTATGCTAATGTCGTGGGCTGCCTTATGTATGCAATGGTATGCACACGTCCCGACATAGCTCAAGCAATTAGTGTCGTTTCCAGATACATGGCAAATCCAGGAAAGCAACATTGGGATGCAGTCAAGTGGATTTTGCGTTATTTGAAGGGTTCTTGGCGACAAAGGATTATGTTTGAGAAGCAAAAAGAAAATGCAAGGGTGTTGGGATATGTGGATGCTGATTATGCAGGGGACTTGGACAAGAGAAGGTCAACTTATGGTTATGTGTTTACATGCGCAGGAGGACCGATCAGTTGGAGGGCACTATTACAACCAATTACAGCTTTGTCGACCACAGAGACAGAGTATATTGCATTGGCCGAAGCTGGAAAGGAAGCAATTTGGCTTAATGGCTTGGTAAGTCAAATGGGAATCACCCAAGATTGTGTGAAGCTGAAGTGTGATAGTCAAAGTGCCATTTACTTGGCAAAGAATCAAGTTTTTTCTGGAAGATCAAAGCACATTGAAGCAAGATATCACAGAATCAGAAATTGGGTGGAGTCTAAGGAGATTTGGATTGAAAAGATTCATACGGATGACAATGCCGCAGATTTCCTTACAAAGATAGTGTCGGCCAAGAAGTTCAAGCATTGCTTGAACTTGATCAATCTCGTTGATTGATTAAAATGGAGCACCTCCTCACTTGAGGTGCAATGAGGCAAGAAGAAGATTGCCAAGGTGAAGACTCTTGAAGATTTCCAGAGCTGCTTCAAGGAGGTTCAAAGATACTCTGGGGTGCAACGATCAAGACTTGGTTTTGACTCACCAAGGTGGAGATTGTTAGGATTTTGGCTCGTCAAATATGTCCTAGTTGGTTTAGGATTGTTTTAGGAAAATTAGAGGTATACCAATTCTTGTCCTAGAGGGATTAGGAAAGAATTCCAGTTTTCCTTATTCAATTTGGGTTTGGATTTCCAGAAGTCTATTAGGATTTGGATAAGTGTAATTTCCTAATCCACTTAGGAATAGGAATTCAATTAGCCTTGGACATGTAAGCCAACTCTAAATCTATAAATAGGGTGTGGCAAGGCTTATTTTAAGAGAGGAAAAACAGCCAGAGACAGCCAAGAGTTTTGAGATTAGTTCTAGGGTTGCAAAAGTTCTGTAATCTCTATTATTAATCAAAGAGAAATCACAACTGGACGTAGGCAAAAGTTTTGCCGAACCAGTATAATTCTTGTGTAAGTGTTTTAATATTTGCTAGTTTAGTCTATTGTCGTTGGTTACATCAAAGAACAAGATCTAGAAGGCGGGTTATTTAACAGAGTAGTCATCAAATGATAAATCCCCAAAATAGTTTTGCATGTAATTGTTAACATGCCACCCATATGGATCCGAGGTAAAATCATTTGAAGATTGAGTCTCGGATTCTTTCCATGAGCTGCTCGATTCCTTCCCAAAAGGAATGGGATATGAAGGGTAGGGAAATGGTTGGTTATGAGTATAATCATAGTTACTACTTCCTTGCCTGTCCATGTCTCAATATTCAGAAGAAAAAAGAACTTACCACTTGGACGCCACAATACAAAGCAAACCAAGGATGACTAATTTTACAAGAGGAAACACCTTGAATCCCCATTGTGTTTTTTTCCCCTTTTTTTTCCCTTTTTTTTTCATTACATCGATATTTTCGATATTTTAGCGATATTGTAAAAAAATATTGCTGAAGTGTGAGCAAAATTATCGACGTCGATATTCTCGATATTTATACGATATGTGTATGGATACGTTTCGAAATATCCGTGATTCGAAAAAACGATAATATCCTCGATATTTCGTTGATATTATCGATATTTTAGATTATGGTTCCTCCTCACCAGGGCCGGCCCTAGGTAATCTGAGGCCCTGGGCAAAAATCTAAAGTGTGCCCTATAAATAAACTAATCACTAAAATTATAATTTTTTATCAACTAATTAATTTTATTAAAATTATAGCATTCATTGTTTTACAACATGAGCCTTCCCATTTGTTATTGTTTGATGATAATAATTTGAGGAAAATTGTCATCATGTTCATCCATAGGGAATTTGCAGTTAGTTTTTCTTACATGAAACTTTTCTAAAAGTAAATCTTCCATTTTTGCATCATAAATTTTCAATTCATTTTCATTTTCTGCTTATTCTTCCAAATGAATTTTTGGTAAACCTTCAGATAAATTTTCATGTTTAAACGAGGTAATCCATTACAGAACTCACGTTCTCACTGCAAAACATATTAAGACCCAAGAAAAATCATCTTTGTTGCTTATCTGGGTCTGCATCTGAAACCCATCTCAATTCTCAACGAATAAGTTCTCAATTGGCGACCTTGAATCTGCAAGAATGCCTATACAAAGTGATTATTTGGAAAATAACAGAAACATAGAAAATAAATAGACAAAGAGGAAGGACTTACAGCTCTGTTGGCTTCGTCTCGTTTGCCATGGAGAGGAAATGATAGGGAAAGAGAGAGGCGATGGAGAAGAGAGAGGATGATAGGTAGGTATATAAGAAAATTGAGACAACTAGAATCTAAACCCTAGTATAGTCTAGTTTTGTTTTGGTTTTTTTGGGGCTAGGATTAAAAAACAACATATTTGCTAGCATATATGGGTTAGCACGCGCTTTTGGGAAGGGAGGATTAAACAAACTTGCGCGCCTGGTTATTTTTTATTTTTTTCTAAGGACTTTTAGGGCATGTTTACGTATCAATAATGGGTATGGAAGGAAAGGGAATGATTTCCATTCCTGACTTCTCCTGCGTTTACTTGCAATCTGGAATGAAAAAATAAGTGGGCCCCATCTCAAAATCCGTAATCACATTCCCTCAAAACTAGGAATCAGATCAACTAGGGGGGAGTAGTCGATATGATTCCCATTCCTGTTTTCTCTTATTAACTTCCAAAAATACCCTTATCACTTTACCATAATTCTAAAATTAATTTGGATTCTGATTTATGCAAATTAGTAAACAATAACAATGGGAATCAATCCCATTCCATTGCTAATTTCATATGTTTAGTAAACAGCTTAATGAGAATGATTCTTCCCATACCGATTCAGTAATTCTCCGATTCCTAAATTCTTTGATTCCTTAGTTTCTCCATTACTGATACGTAAACATGCCCTTAGTTTTTTATTTGTTTTGTTCTATACGTATATAAGGCTTAACTTGAATTTTTTAGTACCCCTTTCAATTATGGGCCCCCGGCCCAGGCCCCAGTTACCCTGCCCAAGGGCCGGTTCTGCTCCTCACCTGAAGGAATTCATCTTGCTGCGTGCCCCTGCATATGATCATATGATGTATTGCAGATTAGCAAGTTAATTAATTAATGGAAACCCACTTAAATAAATTCTGACCCGAAAAAATAGAAGTTTAGTTTATCGATTCATCGGTGTTTTATAACATATTTCCATGTAACTTAGAATGATTTTAGATGTAAAGTAGAGAAAATTTAGAGAAAGTCTTGGATGAGGTACGACCTGGCTTGATGGCTGATGGTGGGAATGTGGCACTACATGAGATAGATGGCCTTGTTGTGGTATTAAAACTGCAAGGAGCTCGTGGGTCATGTCCCAGCTCGACAATGACAATAAAGATGGGAATTGAGACTCGCCTGCGAGATAAAATACCTGAGATTATGGAAGTAGAGTAGATTCTGGATAGAGAGACAGGTCTTGAGCTAAACGAGGAAAATGTAGAAAAGGTTAGACAAATCATCATCTCCAACTAAGTAAAATTTATTTATTTAATTTATACATCAGTTCTATGAAATTGTTTTACATTCTAATTTCATAGGACGATTTGAAGGTCAAAAAAGGACCTAAAACCCAAAAAATCCAACTGTTATTTTGTCCAGAAATTTGAAGCTTTTTCGTCACCAAAAGGTTTTTAGCGACGGATGCTCATCAGATTTTTGTGGCTAAACATTTTTTGCGACAGTGTTCTTCAGATTTTTCGTCACTAAAACTGTGTGTTGATGAGGGAAAATGTCAAAATGGATTGATTTGACGATTATATCTCTGGATTTAACAATTTTTTTGACAGATGAACTATTTAAGAGCACCCATATTAACGTTAGGGATCATGAATAATTAAAAGAACCTTTAAGGATGCAATATGATAGTTTCGCAAATATCAAAGACGTTTTGTGATAAAAAAAAACCTTTCTTTTTATCAGTTATTAGTGTAATTTAGAATAAAAAGCTGTTGCCTTTGTTCTTTACATTGTAATTTGTCCGGTAACTAACTCAATGCTGTGGATAACTCCACATCACCAACTAGTGGGCATAATATTCTTCTTCTCTTCTGCTTTCAGATTCGCTTCTCTTTTGCTTTCGGCCACTCTTGCTTTTCATTTTCGAGAGAAGCCCCAAAAACTTAGTAGCTAAGAGCATCTCCAAGGGAGATGTCAAATACCACACATCAAATTTAAATTTGATGGCTAATGTGGCAATTTAACATTTACGTACTTTTACACTCTACTCGATATATCAAATAAATAATTATTGTAACAGTCAAATCTTTTAATAAATGAAAGTAATAGCCAGCTATCTTTAAAAAAAATAAAATATTCATTTAACATCTTGCTTTTGGGATATCAAAAATAACATTTCAACATTTAGCCTTCATTCCACATCGGTTGGAATGATGTGAGATGTTATTTCTAACTATTAAATATCTATGTGGCACGTTTGACACATTAGTTGGAGATGTTCTAAGATTTCCTCTCTACCTATCTTTTTAGTCTTGCTTTATCCTCTCTATAAAATAGGTTTTATAACATGACATACTTTTACCATGCGAGTCAAAATACACACAGTACATATCACTCTCATTGAAAAACCAAAACGGACGTCGGTGTAGGTGTCCGTGGCGGTGGCGGTGGCGGAGAAGAAGAAGAAGAAGAAGGTAGAATCAGCTGCGGAACGGTCATGGTGGATCACATAGATCTGCAGAACTTGCCCGAAGAATGCTTAGCCAACGTTGTCTCGCTCACCACGCCTCGAGATGCGTGCAGGCTGTCTTCGGTTTCGAGGAGTTTCAAGTCAGTCTCTGAATCTGACGCCGTTTGGGACAGGTTTATTCCGCCCGAGACCCACACGATCTTGTCCCTACAGTCTCCCTCCTCTTCCGTCTCTTCCTCCCCTTCCTCCACTTCCAATTCCAAATCCAAATCCAAATCCAAGAAGGAGCTTTACCTCACTCTCTGCGACAAGCAAGTCCTCATCGAGCAGGGCAAGATGGTAACTTCACTATTATGCCCCATATTTTGAGTCACAAAAACAAAAATTCTTACTTTTCAGAATATGAACAGGATTTATTTATTCACTATTTTTTTTTTCTGGGGTAGATGATTTGTTTATTTTTAAAAACAAAAACTAATCCTATACGTAAAAAGATAAGGAAATTAGAGGGCTTTTAGCTTTTTCCTTGGTCATCTGAGAGTGTTATTGTTATTGACATGAATATTATGATTGTGCAGAGCTTTTCACTGGACAAAAGCAGTGGGAAAAAATGCTATATGATCTCTGCAAGGGCGCTTTCGATTGTCTGGGCTGGGGCTGACACTCCTGACTACTGGAAATGGATATCTCTGCCCGACTCCAGGTCTCTCAAATTTCTCTATTTTCTTTTTCTTTTCCTTTCTTTTAAGGATTTATTTCATAAACAATAGATTTAATAATTATAAGCAAACAGGTTTGAGGAGGTGGCAGAGCTTCTGATGGTGTGTTGGCTTGAAATCCGTGGCAAAATTGGTAGACGGATGCTGTCCCGATCCACCCTATATAAAGCTTATCTTGTATTCAAGTTGACTGCACGCGCTTATGGATTTGATCACCACCCTGCGGAGGTCTGGGTTGGGATGCTTGGAGGAGAAGAGCCCACCAGGCACAGAGTCTTTCTGGACGCCGAAAGAGGGCAGAATACAGCGTACCACATTGGGCCAGGGCCCAGGCGTATTGGGCTAATCAACTGGAGACACTTTTTGGGCTTTCAGTCGTCCCAGCCCAGAGAGATCAACGAGGCCCAATATCCGAAAGAGAGAGACGACGGCTGGCTGGAGATCGAGCTGGGTGAGTTCTTCTGCCTAGGAGGAGGAGACGGAGGAGATGGGGAGTTGGAGATGGCTTGTTTGGAGGTTACCAGTGGTCATTCGAAGGGTGGCCTCATTGTTCAAGGGATTGAGATCAGGCCCAAAATCAAGGACTAGTATAGATCCATCTCATACATATCGCATCTATAAAGACTTTTTTCTTTTTTCCAGTTATTAGTGTAATTTAGAATAAAAAGCTGTTGCCTTTGTTCTCTACATTGTAATTTGTCGCAATCGACATTTATGAATCTTGGCCATGTCGATAGTCAATTGCTTCATTGTTGTGGTATTTGTCATTTGTGTTCGTGATATAAAAAGCCAAACACTTGCGAAGGTCTTAAATATCGATAGTACAAAAACACGGAAATATCGATGGAAATATCGGAAAAATATCGATATTGATAAAAATTGGATAAAAACCACGGAAATTTTTAATGAAACTTTAGAAGAAGTTTATTTAGTCAATCATCTATTATTTTGACACAAAAAATTGGAAGGAAATGCATTGCATAGTGGGTTTGAGTGATTTAAGTTGATTATATTGCGAGCTGACATACTCTGTGACTTAGAAAATTTGGAGTAATTAATGAAAGAGAATTAAACATCCCTTAGTAATTTATTTATCATTTTTTAGTAAAATATTTTATACTTTATAAATTGCATGATAAGATACATGAGTAACCTTACTTCACATTATTCACTAGACATACACATTGTTATATTTATTATTTTATCAAAAATTGAAAAATAATTAAAGATGTAAACCAACTTGATTTGTTGTGAAAATTAGGCACTCTACCATGCTTAAAAAATAATAGTGAAGATTGAAAATTAACTAAGAACATAAATAAATTTATCTAAGGAAGAATTAAATAGGAAATAAAGAAAATGTTTATAGAGATTTAAGTAATTAAGCAACAATTTATTTCATGTTATTTACTAGACATGGTACGCGTTCTTATATTTATTGTTTATCAAAAATTGAAAATAATTAAAGATGTAAAACAATTTGATTTTTCATGAAAATTAGGCACTTTACCATGCTTAAAAAATAATAGTGAAGATTGAAAATTAACTAAGAACATAAATAAATTTATCCAAGGAAGAATTAAATAGTAAATAATGAAAATGATTATAGAGATTTAAGTAATTAAGCAACAATTTGAAGGAGAATTTAGTAATGTAAGTATTTATAATGAATAATAAAATAATCAATAACATTAAATGGATTAAATAGAAAAGAAATAAATTATATTAAGTAATTAAGTAACTGATCAACAATATAAAACAATAAGTAATTATGTTAATTTCTATTTGAAAAACAGCTCGCAAGTATATATACACTAGATTCCATAGTTTATAATCACAAAGTTATGACCAACGTTTTGGTTAAGTGGCTTCTGATTTCGGAGTGGAGAGGGGTTCGAACCCCACTGTGTGCGAGCATGAGTAAGTTTTCAGCATTTAATTTTTGAAAGTTCATATCGCGATATATTGACCATTTGCAGCTGCCAATTGAACGAAAATATCGTAACTTAATTATCGAGGAAATTATCGATAAATTGACGATATATAGATGGAAATGTGTTAAAATATCGTTGCCCCAAAAAAACGATAATTTCGTCGAAATATCGGCAAAATTATCAATCTTTAGTTCTCTGGTCATAAGAAGAGATCGCCCGGCGACATTGTTTCTTGGAGCACCCTCTTTGTCATCATAAAATTAAAAAGATACACATAGGCGGGGAAAGCGTAATGAGATTTACCCTCAGATGTAAAAACTTAACCAAAAAAAAACTAAAAAAACAAATTAATGCAATGCAACAAAAAACTAAACTATTTAAATCTAAAACTAAATTAAACTATTAAAAAACTTAAGATGCATAGATTTATTTTAGGAAAAAGCCAATAGAAGAATACTTATTGGCCTCAGATATGAGAAAATGCTACCAAGAGAGAATGTCCAGACTCAAAAAGAAGCTGCAAAAGATAATGATTTGGAACTATCAACTATTGCACAGTCGAAAGGGAATTGGATGATTACTTATATTGTTAGATTTCTTTATGCACAAACAAGATCTTTCACACAAACTGTAACATGTATAAAGACATGAAGACATACCTGAAGCCATCTTTTTTGAGTACACAGCTTCTGAATTCATCCAATCCGTAGCAGCACCAATCCTAGCAAGAACAGGAACGGCTCAAGACTTTTGCTCTCTCTCAGAATCTGTTTTAGCTATCTCTTTATGATGAGAATAGGTTTAGAGAATGTGTCTGATGAGAGCAAGACCTTTAGCTTATATAGGGTTATGTCATGTTGTCTCTACTCATCACCGAGGGCCGACTTGACTTATCTTCCAAGCCCACTTAATCGATTCATGCGTAAATGGAAATAAATAGGACCCCTTAATAGGCCTCAACACCCTTCCTTATTTCACTAGGTTTTGGGCCTCAAGGTACAACTTAATTTAAACTCTTATCAAACCTGATATGACTTCGTATCTAGTGCACCGATCTAAATAGGAAAACATAACATTCTCCCACTAGATCAAGCACTAGAACACTAAGCTTCTGTATTCCGAAAGGTTTGATAATCTTTATTGGCCATGAGTTTAAAACAGTTAAGTCATTCCCCTCAAGCTACCGTGAAAAGGGATTAAACAAAACGAACTATAGACAAGCACTGCTCTCTTTATTAAAAACAGGCCATCTATAATCATATGATGCAATCTCAAAACACATGAAGCACCTACAACATGAACCTTAATATGTACTGATCCTTAATGTGAAACCTTATGCATTTCAGTACAAGTACCTTTTTACGACTTAGCAAGAGTCAATCCGCAATGTTATTTAAAACAATAGTATCTCAAAAGAGACCATAAACTCACATGCAGAAACAAAGTTGCATAATAAGTTTAAACAGCTAAATAGTCAAAATGGTAGAATTTATTCAACAATTAAAAAAAATGTCAACCAAATTGACATCCTTAAATGCAAATCCCTCAATCCAGAAAACAGCAAAATAAACAAACCAAACAAACTAGTAAAAATATCATAATGGGAACAAGACTCCCACTAGATTGCAGCATCAAAGCTAGGAAAAAGTCTCATGCTCTCAACATGTCTTAGAAAAGCTTCTGAAGGCAAAAACTTTGTGAACGGATCTACAATCATATCTTGAGTTCTAATATGATCAAACCTTACTAGTTTGTCCGCTACCTTCTCCCTCACTATTAAATACTTTCTGTCAATATGCTAAGTTCAAACGATATCTTGTTGTTCATGCAGTGAAAAATAGCCGCAGTGTTGTCATTATATATCTGTATTGGTTTAGAAATCGAGCCCACCACCTTAATGTCCTTAATAAAATTCCTTAGCCATACTGCATGAGAAGTGGTTTCATAGCAAGCTATGTATTCTGAAAACATGGTTGAACTCGAAATGTGCGTCTGTAAATCAACATATAAGCCTTTGTTCTCTGTAGGTACCTCAGAATCTTTTTCCAGCTATCCAATGTTGCATTCTCGGATTTGACTGAAATCTCCCCATCTTGCTAATGCACAAGGCTAAGTCTGGCCTTGTACACACTTGTGCATACATAATGCTTCCAACTAGAGGAGCGTATGGCTTGTTCCTCATCTCATCATCTTCTTCTTCTTCTTTATTCTTAGGGCAATGCTCCTTCTTTAAATCTCCTTTAGCTATCGGAACTTTCTGTCCAGAACACATACTCATGTCAAAACACTTGAGTACTCTCTCAATGTATGTCTTCTGTGATAGGCCTAGAAGGCCTCGAGCTCGGTCTCTCTAAATCTCAATGCCCAACTTCTCCTAAATCCTTCATCTCAAAATTATTTGAAAGTAGCTCCTTGGTGTCCTTTAGTAAATTGTCGTCATTTGTATCCAAAAGTATATCGTCGACATACAGCACCAGAAAAATAAATCGACTTCCACATTTCTTCAGATAAATGCACTAATCAGCTATGTTCTCTTCAAATACCACCTCCTGCTTGCTTGCTTCAGTCCATAAATTGCCTTGCCAAGTTTGCAAACCATATGCTCTTTTCCCTCCTTTGCAAACTCTTCAGATTGCCTCATAAAATTTTCCTCTTCAAGTTCTCCATTCATGGAAGTAGTTTTTAAATCCATTTGATGTAAAAGTAGGTCATAATGGCCCACCAAAACCATAATGATGCGGAAAAATCTTTGGTGGAAACTGGAGAAAATGTCTCAATATAATCAATTTCCTCTTTTTGGGTAAATCCTTTGGCTACCAATTTAGCCTTAAACATTTTGATTCTTTCATCCTTATCTTTCTTTGTTTTGAAAACCCATTTCGATCCTACCAATTTCTGGCTCTTGTGGGGTTTAGCTAATTCCCATACTTGATTATTCTTCATGCTCTCAAGTTCATTCAACATCGCTTCCCTCCATTTGTTCGCATTCTGACTTTCCATTGCTTCTCTAAAACTTGTTGGATCAGCCTCATCTCCAATGTCAAAAATTGCTTCTTGTAAGTACACATAATCTGAATTTGATGTGGATATTCTTGGTCTGTCAGATCTCCTCGGTTATACAGGTTCTTGTGGATCATCCAGCTCAGGATTCTCAACAGCTTGTTCTTGTTGTTCAATTGGTTCTTCAAATTGAGGATTTTCCAATACAATTTCACTTAAAGGAATCAAGGGTGTAACATCTTGTTCAACATTCTCAATCACAGCTACATCACCTTCTTCTTCAAAAATAAAATCTTCATTCCTAGTGGCATTCTCCTCATGCTCTATAAACTTTACACATCAGTCTCAACAATTCGGGTATCATAATTTGGACAATAAAATCTAAAACCCTTTGACCTTGTGAGATAACCTATAAAGTGACAGCTTATCGTTTTAGAATCAAGCTTCTTCTCTTGAGGGTTATAGATTCTAGCTTCAGCCTTGAAACTCATACATGAAGATGTCTTAGGCTAGGTTTTCTGGTAGTCCAAATTTCGAAAGGTGTCTTAGGTACGGAGTTACTAAGCACTCCATAGTTTGTTGTTTTGATTCCCTCTCTCAAAATCGTAGGCAAATCAGTTCTAGAAATCTTGCTAAGAACCATGTCCTTCAAGGTTCGATCCCTTTTCTCAGCCACACTATTCTGTTGTGGAATTCATGGCGTTGTGTACTGAGCAACTATTCCATTATCTTGTAGATACCTAGCAAAAAATCCAGCACGTCGTCCTCCTTCATCAAAACGTCCATAATATTCACCCCCTCTATCTGACCTCAAAATTTTGATCCTTTTCTCAAGCTGCCTTTCTACTTCAGTTAGGAAAATCTTAAACATTTCAAAAGCTTGAGACTTTTTTTCTGCTATGAGATATAGATAACCAAAACAAGAATGGTCATCTATAAAGGTGATGAAAAAAGCAATTTCCATCAATTGTTTGATAAGGGAAAGGTCCACAAAAACTGTGTCTGTTCCAATAAAAAAAAAAAAAAAAAAAAAAAAAAAAAAAAAAAAAACTACTGCAAGTTGCACCTTTCTTCTTAGTCTTAGTGAGTTTTCCTTTGACACACTCAATACAAATTTCGTCATCACCAAAAAACAATGATGGCAAGATTTGTTCCTTAACTAGAATTTTCATTCTTTCTTTTGAAATGTGCCTTAAACACCTATGCCATTCAAACTTCACTATCTTTATTGTAATTGAGACAATATAATCCATCTTTATTGTCTTTCAATTTTTGAAATACAAAACATATTTATTGAAACCAAAATAAAACCAAGTCTTAATAATCTTGAAACAGAAATTGAATGTCTCTTTTATTTATGGTACTGAAACTACATCACCCAGCTCTAAAATAAATCCTGAATCCAACTTAAAAAACAACAACTCCAATTTAAGGAAAAACAACAGGTAGCTATCTAATCCTCCTTGTCACAACTTGCTGCCATGAAAGTGTTGTTCTCCCTAGCAGGGAATGGCACTATCTCTCTATTAGTGGCAGCATCGAAATTCTCATCATGTGATTCAGGTTGGGGCGTAAGTTTCACATATTACACTAGGAGATTCTTGTATCGAAATAGCTTATTGATGTTTCTTCCTCTCCCATCGAGGTCCTAAGACTTCTGAGACTGTCCTTTGTAGCCGTGTATATCCTTGTGGGCCCTCCATATGGTCGACAATTTCACTGCGCATTAACCCTTTTTTGCTCCAGCTCATCTTCGTGCCGCTTCTTAATTAACTTCACTATATTCTTTACTAGAATGTCATTTGTGACAAATTGGCATGAGTGACACCTATTGAACACCAGATGTTTTTCCTTTTCCCTAAGCTCGAGAAGTTTTACTACAAGACACATAAGCGAAAAGGCTAACTTGAATTAAATATAGCCATGAGTGAGATCATAAACGATCTCATTCATTCCTACAATAACTTAAAAATCAAACGTCCATAAATTGAAGTTTGATATAGTGAATCTTTCAATTTGCATGAAATCGATTGAGGGAGTGTTTAAAGCTGTAAGGATTTGCAAACAAAAGCATATTACTTTCCTAGAAACCAATTCTCAATTTGTTAAGAGAAAACAGTTTAACTTTATTCACAAAACTAACAAATAATACATGCAAGCATCCTTAATTAAGTATCACACCTTTGTGGCAAGATATTACTTATAGCTTACACAAATTACATGTTATCTTGTGCCATCACAAATAAATTACATGATAGATTCTATTTGTTAAAGAAACTTATCAAGCAATTTAGGTATGATGCAATTTTCGGTTATTTCTTTAGGGATTGAGTATTTAGGTTTAGTTTTGTTACGAAAAGTTTGTTAATTCTCAGAACAAAGATAAACATCTATCTGGCTCAGAAAAATAACCAAACAAAACACAGTTCAAGAAGGAAAACCCTAAAATTGCAAGGAATAGTGTTTCTGCCGTGAACAGTGTTTTAGGGGTTCTTAGTGTCCACTTTTAACGCAAAATACCTTTATGAATAGGGAATGACCTAATTAACACAACCCATAGCAAAGCTGTGATATATGGGAATTTTTAGGGTTTTAAGGTGATTTGCTAGTTCAAAAACGTGTTTAAAGTTTCTGAAAATATGAAAACCAAATAAAAAACATAATTTTCTAGATTCTTGATATTTTCATAAACAGATACGAAATCATGGTAGACATGCTTGAACAACAATTACAGATATATGTGAACAACCTTAAGCTCTGATACCAATTGTTATATTTCTTTGTGCACAAACAAGATCTTTCACACAAACTGTAACATGTATAAAGACATGAAGACATACCTTGAGCCATCTTCCTTGAGTACACAGCTTCTGAATTCATCCAATCCGTAGCAGCACCAATCCTAGCAAGAACAAGAATGGCTCAAGACTTCTGCTCTCTCTTAGAATATGTTTCAGCTCTCTCTTTATGATTAGAATAGGTTTAGAAAACGTGTCTGATGAGAGCAGGGCCTTTAGCTTATATAGGGCTAGGTTAAGTCGTCTCTACTCATCACCGAGGGCCAACTTGACTTATCTTCCAAGCCCACTTAATCGGTTCACGCATAAATGGAAATAAATAGGACCCCTTAGTAGGCCTCAACACCCTTCCTTATTTCACTAGGTTTTGGGCCTCAAGGTACAACTTAATTTAAACTCTTATCAAACCTGATATGACTTAGTATCTAGTGCATCGATCTAAATAGAAAAACATAACATATATTGCTTCCCTCCCCTTTTCTTTTTTTAAGTTTGATTGAGCCATATAACACGTGGGTTGCTCTTAAGTTTGGATAGGCATAGGTTCACACCATTACATGGGATGGGTAGGAATAGCTTTGCTTACATATAGGTTTTTTTTTTAGTTAAAAAATTTGGGTGGGCAGCTGCCTACCCTGCTCTTGCTGCAGAACCGCCATTGCATGGAAGCCAACGTGTTAAAAGAAGAAGAAAAAAAACAAGTGAAAAAGTGAAAACCCGACTTTACCAGTTTGCTAGTTTTTGTCTGGCACTGTCAAAAGCATTTTTCGTGATTCATTGGTACAAAAATTTACTTCACCTATTACAATTGGTTTGGCCTCAATTTTTTCGCCTTACATGACAACAAAGGCAGTCAGAGAGGTAAAACAAACAATGAGATCAGGAGAAATATAGATCATTTGGAAGTATACTGCTGACCCTTGCATAGATTTCAAACCTTTTAATTTTTCTTTTTTATTCAATTCAATGCTTGACTAAAATCTAAGAGGGATGTATTCAATTTAGATTTTAAAATATTATTTTGGGATAAATAAGTCTTGTGATATTCAATTAAGACTTTTAAATAATCTAAATAAGTCTTTTGGTATTCAATCAGGACAATTAGGCCATCTCCAACCATGTTGGGGCTAAACTCAAATTTTCACCCTCTAAAATACAACTATTCATGTATTTTCATGACTCAAATTTTTTTTTCCTCCAACCTTGCAGACTCATAATTTGAGTCCACAACTTTATTAAATTGTTTAAGAATAATTAACCCCTAAATTTTATTTTCTTGTTAATCTTTCTTGACATTATTTTTATTTCAACACTTGTGATTTAATTTTCTAAACATTTTAACCTAAAAAAATTAAAATTCCAAAACATATAGAATTTCGCTTAAAAAAAACAGCAAATCAGATTTGTTTTGAAAATATAGCCAGTGCCTAACAAGATTGAAATGTGTGCCAGCTTTATTTGCATGCCCAAACAGAAATGTCAACGGGCCCAGCAATGTTGGTAAGCACATGGGCTTCCAGCCAAGAAAAAAAGAATAAAAAACAGATTTTGGGCCCACAAAAAATATGAGTTCATGCAATATTGGGATTGGAATTCCACCCCAAATTTGAGATTTCTCAACTTTCCACCCCCCAAAATACATGGGTTTGAAAAGTTTTTTGGACTCAAAACTCAAAATTTGAGTTTCCACCCCTTGGGTTGGAGATGGTCTTAGGATATTTTAAAGAGGGTGTCCAAATCTAGTAGTATTCAATCAAGATTTTAAACAAGTAACAAAAAGTTTTTGGTATTCAAAAACTTGCTAATTTTGATGGATTTTTTTTAATGTGGAAATTGTGTGACTTTTTAGTGGGAGGTATAAATACCAAACCCTATAAAAAATCTCACCCTAACCCATCAGACTTTTCACGTGAGATTGTTTTTGTCTGCTAGAGAAGATGAACAGCTCTTCGTGAAGTTGAACAGCTCTTTCGTGAACAAGGTGATGAAATAGGAAATGCGTCCATGGAAGAATGTGAAGATATAGCCAATATTTGGTGGCTAGTCTCACTAAGGCAGGGAATTTGATAATATAAATTTCTATCTGCTGGTGAACAATTGAATAAAGTATAGTCATATTGGTAGTCCCCTTTGAATTGGAAGGCAGAGGCAGACAGATTAAGTTTATGAAGCTGCCTGGGAACACAACCATCTGGATCAACCACTTGAATTACCTGAGATTTGTAGTTGATATGAGTGACGTTGAACTTCACTGAAATTGGCAGCTCAAGCACTGTATTGTTGCTTCCATTGTAGGATAAATCAAATCCAGGGTAGCCACAGTGATCAGGCTGCTTGTCTTTGAGTTGAAAAGGGAATTTGATAGGTGGACCGAAGTCTCCACAGCGTAATTCTGAGCACTCATTTTGGCATGCTCCAATATTAACTTTCAAGCCTACCATGAACAACAGGATGAAGAAAGAAATTGTCATCTCTGAGGAAAATACTCAACTTTCTCTCTGCACCTTGAATCATCTAATCCCAATACTCTCTCCTTTTCCTTAAATTATTCTTCTTATTATTAAGTTACATATAAAATCTCATTTCCGTGTTGACAAATCAACTCTACTCTGTGGAAAATGAAGGTAACAATACATTAAAAAAATTCCATGTTGACGAATAAATTCCTGCCCACAAAATTTCTTTATATCAGTTAAAATTAATGCACACTTGTGTCTTGAATAATATAGAAAAATCTAGAATAATGGAGAATGAGCAAACCGACTTAGCAAAGTCGATGAATCAAAAATATCATAATATCAAAGTATGCTAGTATAAAATAATCAAAGTGCTGTAATATAATCAAAGGATCCTTGTCTGTAACAAAGGAAGATGCAGTTGTGCTGGAAACCTCCCACTCTCTTTTTCTCCTAATCTAGTCTTGCAATGGCTGCAGGAAGAGTATCAGTTCCATCACGACTCATAGTCCTTGTAACAGTTCTTGGCTTGTACTGTGGAACTTTCAGTGCCAAGGATGATGATCATCATAGATGTGAACCTTCATCGTGTGGCGAAATCCAAAACATAAGCTACCCTTTTCGACTGAAACATGATCCAGAGAAGTGCGGTGACAAAATGCATGAACTGTCTTGTGAGAATAATATAACAGTGTTATACTTGTATTCGGGGAAATACTATGTCCAGGCAATCAATTATAATAACTACACCATCCGAGTTGTGGATGCCAATGTTGATGAGGGTAACTGCTCCTCAATCCCTCGGGATTCTTTGACGGGCTATAACTACCATCGCCAGGATCCGTATAGCTTTGAGGTTAGGAAACTTCATAAGCGTGAAATTTCATGGAGCTTCTCTTTTCAAAATTCAGATCAAATTGAACTGTCAAAGCCTATAATTTTCATTACCTGTAAAACCCCGGTGAACTCACCTCTGTATGTGGAGACTGCTCCTTGTACTGATGCTATTAGTAGTCCCAGTTCTGCTCTGCCCCATTCCCAAGGGCATTCTTTTGTTATGGTTGGTCATGTTAATGCCTCAGATTTGAGGGAGTTGTGCCGCGTTGAGCTTATGGTTAGGACATCCTGGCCGGGTACAAAGGGCACGAACCTTTCCTACATAGACATCCACAATGAACTGGTCTATGGGTTTGAACTTTCATGGTTGCAGAGCTATGATAGAGGTCGAAAAGGGAGTATTTGCTACGTCAACAATGATACCAACAAAGTCGATTGTGCTTATGATTGTAGTTATGGTTGGTCACAACCGAACCACTGTGGTATGGATATCAAAGAGAACTTATCACATCTTTAGAAGCGCGCGCGCGCACACACACACAAGTACACACATTGTGATTAACAAATTTCCAAATTTTCTACTATACTTCAGTTTGAAACATGTCAAGATTCTAAAATTCAGTACGTATTATTTCTGTTGGATAATGCAGGCATCGCGGACATAACTTTTGGCTTTTACATAGTACGTACCCCTATCATTTCGATTCTTTTCATTTCTTCAGTGATCTTTTCCGAAAAACCGTTTAATAGCTCACAGTCTAAACTCAATCTGTTTTTGTTCTATGTTCTTGCAGGTATTTTCTATTTCTACAGTCAACCCCTTGGTGAGTAATGTATTGTCTTCTTTTTTATTATACTGTCTCATGTCAAATAAGTGATCTTTAGCTGTAGAGAAAAAGTGATTATAGAACCAAGTTTGAATTAGAAATGGTGGACGCAGCAGTGCTAAAATTTTCATGGTTTTTGTTTTGCAGCAATATTGTTGTTTGCGACAAGAACTGCAGTCGGAGTTCCATGTGTGATTGTGCTTCTTATCTATAAGTTGAAAAGGCGGCACTTATCAATGTATAGCCCCATAGAAGAATTCTTGCAAAGTCAAAACAACCTCATGCCAATAAGGTACTCCTACTCGGATGTCAAGAAAATGACCAAAGGATTGAAGGACAAATTGGGTGAAGGAGGTTATGGCTCTGTCTATAGAGGAAAGCTTCGAAGTGGCCGTCTTGTAGCAGTTAAAATTCTTGGTAAGTCCAAAGCTAATGGGCAAGATTTTATCAATGAAGTTGCTACAATTGGAAGGATTCATCATGTAAATGTGGTGCAACTAATTGGCTATTGTGTTGAGGGATCAAAGCGTGCTCTTGTATACGAGTTCATGTCAAATGGGTCTCTTGATAAACACATATTTTCTAAAGAAGGACCCTCATCCTTAAATTTCAAGAAATCATTTGAAATTTCACGTGGAGTTGCTCGTGGTATTGACTATCTTCATCAAGGATGTGAGATGCAAATTTTTCATTTTGATATCAAGCCTCACAACATTCTTCTTAATGAAAATTTTGTTCCAAAGATTTCTGACTTTGGGCTCGCAAGATTATGTCCATTAGATGAGAGCAGTATAACTTTGACTGCAGCAAGAGGAACCACTGGATACATAGCTCCAGAATTGTTTTACAAAAACATAGGAAGCATATCAAACAAAGCTGACATTTATAGTTTCGGAATGCTATTGATGGAAATAGCAGGCAAAAGAAAGAACCTGAATGCAGTTGCAGCTCATTCAAGCCAAATATACTTTCCTTCATGGGTTTATGACCAATTCAGTGAAGGAAAGGGCATAGAAATAGAAGATGCCACTGAGGAGGAAATGAAAATAACAAAGAAGATGCTTATAGCTGCATTATGGTGTATACAAATGAAGCCTACCGAGCGTCCTAATTCGATGAGCAAAGTAGTAGAGATGCTTGAAGGAGAGATTGAATCCCTTCAAATGCCTCCAAAGCCTTTCCTATATCCACAAGATAAACCTGTGGTGGATGATGAAGACAATTCAGAGACAACATGGTCATCAACACAATCAAACAATGATGCTGAAGAGTCAGCAAGTTCAATTCAAAACGTTAATGAAATAATGTAGCCCAGTCAGTCTGTATTTATACCATGTACAATGAATACTATGTACAAGAAAAGGCTTGTTGGCGAACATTTCAACTCTGCAGGAGCAATAATGGTTCTTTCTCATACATAAGGATGTAACTGAGAATCAGGGAACAGAGAGAAGTAAAATGATCAGATAATATGGATTTTTTTTAAATTTTTTTTTATTTTTTATGAAGAGATAAAATGGATTTTGATAGACTGAAAAAGAGGAATATTAAGCCGATGCCAAATACCTATAGGATGATTAAGATAAGAATAATTACTGATTTTTCTAATTAGTAAGTTTAAACTTTCACGTTTTTAAAGACAAAAATCCATACTCCAGAATCTTTGTATCACTATCAATGTGGGTTACAAATTGGGAGTTTCACTAAAACACCCAAAATGGGGGTTGAAATTATAAAAAAACCCAAGCACTATTTAAACATATAAACACACCCAAAACCCATCATTACACACACTCAAAACCCATTTATAAACACCCAAGAAGTTGACTTTGAGGTTGATTTTGGGTGTGTTTCTATGTTTAAATAGTGCTTGAGTTTTTTTATAAATACATGTCTAGAATTGGGTTTATTTATAAATTTGTATTACAAATTTTGCAGATATACAGTAAAATGCATGGGTGCAACTTTTATGCGTGTGTGTGAAAAAGGGGAGCGGGGGAAGAGCATTATTGGAGGTCATATGCAACATGTACTTTGGGCCATTCTCCATTTTGGTCCCCATAATTTCAATTCAATTCAGTCGTATCCCTGTAGTTAATTGAGGCTTGCAACTAAGTCCAATTTGGATATGAGACTCTTAATATTGATGGAAATCTCGATTTGGCTTTACAGACTTAATATACTCAATACACAATAAGAAAGTTAGGCCATTAAAATTCTTCAGCAAAGAAGTCCAAGAAGAAGCTAAAAGCTTAATCCTAGCCCAGAGTAACTTCAATTCTTCCTTGTTTCCCTAAATAACCGCTGTAGTCCATCCAAATCTAGCACACAACGTAATAGCCAAAACCGCCCACCTCCAAGAGTAACCAGCTTTTCCTGGCTCACAAAAAAGTAGCTCCTAGGACACACCCGCTCGAATCCAAATTCCAAACACCTCCAACAAGAGAGCCCGGGTTTGCCTATTGAAATGTCAATGTAGAAGATGTGGCATGCCAGCATTTACCCAGAACAAAAGCCACATAGGTTTTATGTCTACTCTCGAAGTTTCTAAACTTAATTGTAGCAGTAAATTTTCAGTTGAAGATAAACAGGGAAAACAATATTATAGTAACAATAACAATGTTATGAATAAACATCCTACATAAGTAAAAAAAAACATCATTATGAAATAGAGTACAATATCTAACCGGACTACAGCTTCATTGCCATGGAAAGCTGCAGCATGTGCAAGTTGATAAATTTTGTTTTTTTTACCAATTGCTTCTTTATCAAATATGGCATCTTATAAAACAACTGATGATTCTCCCAAAGCAATATATTTCCCAACAGAATCTGTATCAATTAGAAGAACAAAGTATCGACATAAGTAATGTGGTCTGATGCTCAAAGCCAATAAATCATATATTTCTTCAAGAACATGATGAACTAGATCAGATAAATAGGAGTAAAGTTCCACTACTGGAAATAAAATTAGCTAAATATAACTACAAAGGTTTTCTATATGGTTTAAGTTTGTAGACCCAAAAAACAGTTATCACGATGCAAGCCCAAAGAACTTTTCCTTCATGCAACCCTTAGCAATATCTGCTTATCACATGGAAGAGAAGAGCAACCCACCAGGCCGATGGAACTACCCAACTTACATAGATCAGCTAGCACCATATGCTTTTCACCCCCTCTAGCACCGAATGTATTTCTCACTTTACATAAACTAAATATCTTCCCAATACTAACACGAAGTGATGGAGTAGACTGGAGTTTTAAAGGGAACAGGAGAGTCAATTACCAACCTAATGTTACGCCTTGAGAAGCAACCATTGAGACATGGGGAAAAGGCTTCTTGATAGCTGATATATATTGTGCTCCATCTAATGCAGAAAAAGGATAAACTAACCAATAAACAACTTTAGAACCCACCAGTCATGCCTGGAATGGAACAAACATGCATAAGAAATTTAACTGAACCAGCCAATAATCAGTTAACAATCTAATCACTTCCGGTTTTAAATTACATGCACATGCAACTAGAAATGCATACAAAATGAATTATGTTGCAACATTATGCACCAGTACAATACACGAACAAACAACCAATGAAAGTTCATGGCTTAAGAAACAAAACTACGTCCATAGTGCTAACTCAATAGAGAATGACTGCAAATTATGTAGCAGAAAAAAATTACAGTAAACAGGCTGCGGTGCTTGCTAAAGGTCTTGGCTTGTCTGCAGATTGTTTGGAGATTGCTCTAAGGTGATGGGCAGTGATAGAATCGGCTTGTTGAGGGTGAAAAATCAGTGAGGACAGTTCCTACCTGCACAGCACTTAGCACACTCAGAGAAAGTAAATTTTAACGGTCTAAATTTATATACGGACCAGTACCTCGCCCTACTTGTAATATGGAATTACAATTTTGAATACCAATAAAAAAAAAAACACCTTTATTAAGATTTATTTCAGGTTGGTCACTGCTATACATACAACCAGATTGGTCACTTACATATGCACCTACTATGATTTGTACCAGAACAGATGTGACAGAAATCTGAAAGGAGACGCTATTAATGGTTTTCTAGTAAATCCAGGCTTCCCATCTTAAACATAAGCTAGAAGGCATTCCATATAACATCCAGGAATGGACATTGTATGGCTATTCTTCCACAATGAACCAATATTTATGTTATACAATGCAGACACAGCATATCTGCAAATATTACTTAATCTACATTCTCTGTCAAACACCATGAATTAGAGTCCACAAGAAAATACAAAAAACATGTCAAGATATCGAGGAGGAAAAAGATGATTACCCCTACGACTCTTGTAGGATGGTCGTGTACCAGCTGTCATAGAACATGTGTAGGAAGGGTTAAAAATAACGTAAGTTCTCAATCTTAGTGACCATTTTTAACAGGAAACGGGAAAGTTTTAATGTTTAAACAACCTCAAACACACCTGGGGTTGACATCACAATCTCCAGCTACATATGAAGAAATATAAAATATTTGAAACCCATCACTGGTGATCCAAAATGAAAGTATACTACTCACTGTAGATGTCATTAACAATGCAAACATGCAGCAAACATTTCTTGTACAAGGGTTGCACTTCCTTGGCAGTTGGCGCTCTTTTTGTAAAATGTGACACATATCGTCAGGTTACCAACAGACAGAAGAAAAGGAAGAGCAATTGAAAATAAATCAGGGTTATCTCTTAGAATGAGAGACAACCATTATATATCAACATATTTATGCTTACAAAACTACCCCAGCTGCTGTATGAGAAAACCCTAACACTTGTCAAAACAGGACAATGCAGCAGATACTTCTTCCTTCCCATATGAAGTTGCAACCCAACTTTCCAAAATGCAAGGCACCTTAGGCTTGGCAAGAAGTTGAAGTATCAACCACCAGGGATCTTGCACATGCAGCTTCAATTGCCAGCTCTGTACTACACAAAAGGGAAACAGAGAGTAAGCCCAAAAACCTGGGGTAAATCATCTGCTAAATTTGCCAAAAATACAAAAAACCTTGTAACATTGTTATAAAATTCAATCTTAATAACTCTATCACCATGTTCAGTTTTAACTTTTGACAAGTGAAGATTAGCAATATTATCTTTTTAGAGCAAGAAATATTATTCAAACAAAATGCAGTACAAGCAGCCAGGGTTACACAATAAATCAACAAGGATTCCCTGCACAAGAAGCATAACAGAAACTCAAAACCAAGTAAATTACAAGCTAGAATGGAGCTCAGCACCCCCTAAGCCTCAAACCTGCATTGGAAATAGAATAGACATGATTCATTAGGCATGGGACAGATGCTTTGTTTTTCCAATAAGTAAATCACAGACAGAAGAATGAAATATTTATAGGCAAATCTTCAAAATTTTAAAAGCACCCTACGGTATTCCTGGAAAAAGTTGCAAGTGGTTGTATTTCCGGAAAAGGGTATTTCACTCTTGCCTTTATTTCATTTAGGAACAACCACTGATGCAATGCAAAGCAGTCCACACTGCTTTAATTAGCAGAACTGAATGCAAATTAGCGGATGGGAATATGCAAAAGTCATCAGTAAAGCAAAGACATAATATTCTCAACTTTGCACATATTGAATGACAAATTAACTTATGAAAAGTTTTCTTGTCCATTAGCATGCTAAACACGTCCTACATAATAATGACAAAAAGAAAAGGAGATAAACTGTCCCTTTGTCTTGTTGCCCTGTCCTGAAAGAATCCCATTAGAGAACCAGTTAATCATATACAAAAACTAGGCATAGTAAACACACAGGCTAATGCTATACAAAAACTTTCACAATTGAACCTGGGCAAAGGGTTAAGCCAAAAAACAAATCATAAAAGAAGTAAGAATCCAGGAGTAATGACTATATCTGATATTCTTATATAAATCTGGAGCAAAAATGAGTTTTCATATCATACTTATTGAACAACACATTTCCCAGAGAAACAGTCTCTAAAGAAAAATTGTGAAAAAACAATACAGAAAAAATAGAAAATAAACCATTGACACATTTTTTTACAGGAATATAACCAGAAACTATATCATTTCTATTATACTGATCCACTGATTCACTGATGCGGCGGAGAAATGGAGCCCGAATATGCAGCGAATCGATCCACCAACACTCACAACCAGGAATATACTATGAGGCAACATAATGTGAAAGCCTAGACGCCATATTTGCAACCTGTGATTGCATTTGGACAGCCCTGACTTTCGCTGCCGTAGCGCGATCATAGAACTGCTTGCGCGACAAAGACCTCACATTCTTCAAGTACTCATCAACGGGTATTGCCCCATCTTGCAATGCCTTATCTAAGGAATACACAACATCTTCTATAGCCAAATCAGAGGCCGTACAATCCAACATTTGCTTCGAAAGCACGTCTACGCATTCGAATGCATCGTCCACATTGACACCATTCAACCTGCCCCTAGCTTTCCCCTCATTCTCTCTCAGCCACCCCTCCAAAACGTCTGAATTCATCAACACCATCTGCAATTGCTGCTCCAAACCCTCCTTCTCGTCCCCCATCTCCTTCAAACCTTTGCTAAGCTGCTCAGACCGCTGCCTCAGCTCGGCCTGCGCATTGAACAAGCCTTCCATTTCTGCCTCCCTCGTCTTCCTCAACCCGGCCACATCGCCGTGCACGATCTCCACAAGCTTACTGATCGCGTTTCGCTTGAAAACCTCGTTCGGATCCTCGGTCTGAACCCGAGAAAACGACCCGCTGCTTCCATACGGGGACAGCGGGTACGCCCTCGGGGGGATCGCGGGGCGGGCAGGAGTAACCGAGCCTGAAGATCCCGAATAGCCCGAATAGCTGGAATAACCTGAATTCGAAATCGCCGAGGAGGAATGACCCAGATTAGGGTTAGGGTTAGGGTTTGGATTGGGATTGGGATTGGGATTGGGCCTGCGCTGAGAGAACAGAGGCGGGTCTTGACCAAAGACAGCGCTGAGATTCTTGGCGAGCTCGACAAGATTGGAGCTCGGGTAGACCCAATTGTGCAGGTAAGGGATTGAGACCAAACCAGAGGGAGTAACGTGGGCGTGAGGGCGCTTGATGATCATGTCGCGCGTGGGGTTGACGTAGACGACGGGCGGCTGGCGGGGGTAGGACTCCATGAGCCAGATGATGACGGGGATGTTGTAGGTGACGCCTTGAAACGACATGGGGACGGTGCCCTCGGCCTGGAGGAGGTTGACGGAACGACCGTCGTTGTGGGTGAACGTCGCCGTTTTGGGGTCGAGGGAGGGGTAGGCGGTGGTGAGAGAGACGAGGTGGTTGCGGATGTGCCATTTGGTGTCTTCGGAGTAAGGGAGGGACGAGGGGCCGCGCTGCGAGAGGACTGAGCTCAGGAACTGCTGAATCAGTTGCGGGTTCGCTGGGGTTGGACCGGCCGGCGGAACCATCGCTATTCGGGTCGGGAAAATGGAGATTTCAGATTATGAGAGAGAGAGAGAGAGAGAGAGAGAGAGAGAGAGAGAGAGAGGATTTTGATTGTTGAATTGAAATTGGGGGATTTGTTTGTTTGTTATGTTTGCTTCGCGGAAAAGGGACTGTGAGCGTGCCGTGTTGAGTTGAGACTGGCGTGTGAGCGCGTTGCTGACTTCCCCTTTCAGAAATGGCGCACCCCTTTCAGAAATGGTGCACAAAGTCTCTGAACGCTCAAAAATATCTGTGGACACCCAAGCGATCCTTACTTGTTTTTTTCTTTTTTCTTTTTAATTTTTAAATACAAATGACATTATACTTTAATTTAATCTAAATTATCGGAGGAGATTCAAACTCAGATACAGAGTAAAGAGCACATCCACTTTAATCAACTTGGCTAAACCTATATTTACAAGGTAACAAGGTTGTTTGACGAAACAAAAATAATAATGGTAACAAAGTTGTCACAACCCACTTGAAGCAGACTCTCAAAGTGACAGGATTTATACTAAATTCTCAAGGATCAATTGGATAAAATTATACTTGTTTCAACAAAAACATGCAGCAAGTTGATGTCTAGAGTATATACATTAGAGTCATTTAAAATAACACATTGTGAAAATGTCTACTTTGGTACAGAAAAATACTCTTTCTTATAGAACTAAAATACGGCAAACAAAACTACACTCCAATAACTCTTTTTGTGTCCTGGAGACCATCCATTATGGAGCCTGCCTGCATGTGTTAAAGCTTGTTAATTACTAGACCTCAAAGCTAAAATTACTTCAATTTTCTTCCTTGTCAAATGATCCTCACTCCTGGCTGAAACTTCAAAGCATCTCTACAAAATTTGGTCATCCTGCCAAAGAGAAGCATTAAAACAAATATGTAAAAGAGCAAAAGACAGACATTACTACGAAATGAAAACTTCAAACAATCTCCTCGTATTTGAATTCCAAAGCAGCTAATATTAAACTCCATTTGAATATTAGGAAATTGCAACCAAGGTAACCCCAATATATTGGAACCCAGAGTTAGATTAAATGCATATAAAGATGAGAAACTGACCAAATACGGGATTGTGCACGCTCACTTTCTTCTTACTCCATGCTGAAAGGTCAACTATTCAGTTTCCCAACTGAGAATATCATGTAATAAACCTGTGTTTGAACATGGAACTCAATTTAAAAAAGGTGAGGCGAATTGAGTGAAAATCCAGTGCAAGTGATGTCGGATTAATATTGATAATGTAATAACAAATACATGAACAGGTTCATGATGCTTAATAGTTCAACAAACTACTATGACGGTTTCAGTTGCTTGAAGTACACATTCAAAATAAACTTAGACTAAATTCTTTATTGATCTAAGGGTGCATAATAGGTTACATGGAAGCCAACGTATACAATGGAGAAAAAAAAAGAAGCAAAAAAGTGAAAACCTGACTTTACCAGTTTGCTAGTACATATCCAGCACTGTCAAAGCATTTTCCAAACTACATTGGTATAAGATTTTACTACACCTACTACAAATGGTTTAGCCTCAACTTTTTCATCCTGCATGACAACAGAAGCAGTTAGAGCGCTAAGAAAAACAGTGAACTCAGGAGATATATAAATCATTTGGAAGTATATTGCTGACCCCTGCATAGATTTCAGACCTTTTAATTTTCTATTTTTTTATTCAATTCAGTACTTGACTAAAATCTAAAGATACATAAGGATGTAAATGAGAGTAAGGGATCAGAGTGGGGAATCAGAGAGAAGTCAAATGATGAGATAATATGGATTTTGATATACTGAAAAAGAGAATATTCCGCCAATGCCACAAACCTATTGGAGGATTAAGACAAGACTGATTACTGATTTTCTAATTAGTAAGTGTCAGCTTTGAGTACTATTTTTAAAGACAACAATCCATATTCCAAGTTAGTAGTAGATCTTTGTATCACTATCCATCAATGTGGGTTACAAATTTTGCAGATATACAGTTAAATGGATGGGTGCAACTTATATACGTGTCTGTGTGAGCAAAGGGAGGAGGGGGAAGAGCATTATTGGAGGTCATATGTAATATGGCCAAACTACAAAATTAGTTCATGTATTTGGGCCATTCTCCATATTGGTCCCCATACTTTCAATTCAGTCGTATCCCTGTAGTTTATTAAGGCTTGCAATCAAGTCCAATTTGGATTTGAGACTGTTAATATTGATGGAAATCTCGATTTGGGTTTGAGACTGTTAATTAACTACAGGGATAATAAGATAGGCAAAACCGGAAGTGTGGGGATCAAAGTGTAAATGGGCCCCAAATTGTAATTTACCATCTAAGACTAATCCCCAAATTGTAATTGACCATCGAAGACTAATCCACTTTGAAGTATTTCAAACTTTTTAATATGATAAAGGCAAACTTTATCAACAAAAATAGAAGAAAGTTCCTAAAGATGGATGATAAGTTCATCAAAATTAGTTCTTTAACCTCAAACAAGACACATAATGTACTCAACACACAATAAGAAAGGAAGGTAAGTTTCAAAACTAAATTGTAGCAGTAAATTTTTAGTCAAAGATAAACAGGGAAAACAATATCATAGTAACATTAGCAATGTAATGAATAAACATCCTACATAAGTTAAAAAAAGAAAAACATCACTATGAAACAGAGGACAATATCTAACCGGTCTACAGCTTCATTGCCATGCAAAGCTGCGGCATTTGCAAGTTGATAGATTTTAGTGAAATTTTTTTGACCCATTGCTTCTTTATCAAATATGGCATCTGATAAAACAACCGACGATGCTCCCTGAGCAATATACTCCCCAACTGAATCTGTGTCAATTAGAAGAACAAAGAATCCACATAAGTCAGATGTACATGCTCTGATGCTTAAAGCCAAAGAATCATATCTTTCTTCAAAAACATGTTGAACTAAACCTGAAAAATAGGAGTAAACTAAATATCTTCCCAGCAGTAACACAAAGTGTGGGCAGCACTGGAGCTTTAAAGGGAACAGGAGAGTCAATTACCAACCTGTTGTTATGCCTTGAGAAGCAACCATTGAGATATGGGGAAAAGGCTTCTTGATAGCTGATATATATTGTGAGCCACCTAATGCAGAAACAGGATAAACCTGATTACCAAATAAGATGGAGTTAGAACCCCTCAGTCATGCCTGGACCTGAACAAACATGCATAAGAAATTGAACTGAACCAGCCAATGATCAGTTAACAACAATCTAATCACTTTAGGTTTAAAACTACATGCAGATGCAACTTGAAATGTATACATAATGAATTATGTTGGGTAAAAGCAACATATGCACCAGTAAAATACACCAATAACCAATGAAAGTTCACGGTTGAAAAAATAAAAACTAGGTCCAAACTGCTAACTCAATAGAGAATGACTACAAGTTATGCAGAAGATATTTATAACTTTCCTACTTTTCATTTAAGCTCCATAAAGCAAATTAGATATTTAAAACTTTCCTACTTTTAATTTAAGTATGACTCATAATTATTAAGTGTCTGATAACCAGAAGCCATCATGCCATGCTCACATACCTAAATAAAAATTATAAAGGCCTGGTAAAAACAGGATAATAAATTTAATAACGTAGCCTTATAAGTGTACAGAAAGCCAGTGAAGATGACATGTCTACCTTGATGAACTTCTACAAGAAAAAGTTGAATGCATTTAAAAAAAATATATAAAAAAGATGAATGACAAGAATCACCTTGACAATTTTGGCACCAGCATCATATGCAGACAATATCTGCAAATAGAAAATTAATTTTAGGAAAAGGTGATCAGCCTTTTGCAACCCCAATCAGAAAACAATGATATAAAAATGCATCTAGATTTGCCATACAATGACAACAGTAGAGATCAAGGAAATAAACATTCTAATAAGTCAAACAGGTTTAAGTGAAAATCCAACAAAGCCTCGGAGATTACAAGGAGTTAGAATTTAAGTATAAGAAATGCTTTTACCTCTGTTGGGGTCATAACACCGGGTATGTATAAAACTCCACTATATTGAAGATCATCCAAAATGTCCTGATGCACATTTTTGAGTTATTAAAAGCAAGCAATATTAGATGCATATCCTAATACCTTAACATGGAGAGACACCATAATTGATAATAAATGGAAATAGTAGAAGTTACATGCGAGGAAGATAAGAAAAGTAGAGAGATTCAAGGATAGAAAAGAAGTAAAGAGGGAGGATCAGCGAAATTGGAGTAGCCACTCACCAGTTTTATGTATATAAAAATGCTATGCCAAAAGGAATGGGACCTTTACAAAGATAAGTTGGGAGCCCCACATAGTCTGGGGTTTGATTACTCAAGATACCTAGTATCTATCTTACTATTTGCTAGACTTTCCTGCCTCCCAATGATTGTAGGTTTGTCTCGCAGCCCCAGACAAACTAGCAATCATAACCAAACATAACCCAATAAAAGGTAGAATGGAGAGAAGAACATGGTAGATGTGCTCTAATGCCAACTTAAAATGTGCTTTGTTGCCCTCATGCCAAGTTAGAAGTTAGATTAGATGAAGGTAAGAAACATTGAGAGATGGAGGAGAGAAAAAGAAGAAAAGAGAGTGAGTCTACGTCGAATTAGGGTTGCCCCTCAGAATACAATATCATACTCCTATATATATTTCTACAAGGCCAAAACAGAAAAAGAGAGGCAAAACAAAAGACTGTTCCTAATAATAACAAAACGAGAGAGAGAAACTAATAATGAAATTCATGACTAATAGATAATAAGTTTTAGTAAAGAAAAAGTGGCCCAACATTTCTCAATGCTTACCTTAACCATAGCAGGACTCATAAGAAACTTGGCTCCTGCTATCATTGCCCTTTTGGCATCCTCAACATTTAGTACAGTTCCTACCTGCAGGGCACACAAAGCACATTCAGAAGAACTAATTTTTAACAGCTTCAATTTATACGAACCTGTACCTCACCCTTTTTGTAATATGGAATTAGAATGTTGAATGCCAATCAAAAACACCTTTATATAAGATTTATTTCAGGTTATACAACCACATTGGTCACTTCGAGAAATTTGAAAAGAGAAGCTATTAAGGGTTTTCTAGTAATCCAAGATTTCCCATCTTGAACATTTATGCTACCAGGTATTTCATATAGCATCCAAGGAATGGACAGTGTATGGCTCTTCTTCCACATTGAACCATTTATGTTATAATGCATACACAGCATATCTGCAAATATTACTTATAAGTTTCAATGCATTCTGTGTCAAACACCATGACTTAGAGCCCACAAGAAAATGAAAAAAAAGAAGTCAAGATATGAAGGAGGAAAAAGATGATTACCCCTAGGACTCTTGTAGGATGGTCATGTACTAGCTGCTGTAGAACCTGTGCAGGAAGGGGAAAAAAGAGCATAAGCTCTCAATCTAAGTGACAATTTTTAATAGGAAACAGGATAGTTTGAAAGTTTAAACAACCTCAAACACACCTGGGGTAGACATCACAATCTCCAGCTACATATGAAGAAATATAAAAGTATTAGAAACCCATAACTGGTGATCAAAATGAAAGTATACTACTACACTGTAGATCTCCTAAAAAATGCAAACATGCATCAAAAATTTGTTGTACAATGATTGCGCTTCTTTGGCAGTTAGTCACTTTTTTTGGGTAAAATGTGGTACTTATTGTCAGCTTAGCAACAGAAAAAGAATTTCGACAGGAAAAAAAAGAAAAAAAAAAGCAACAGAAATAGAAGAAAAGGAAGAGCAATTGAAAATAAAAGCAGGATATCTCCTTAGAATGAGAGACAACCATTATATATCAACCAACATATCGATACTTACAAAACTACCCTCACTGCTGTATAAGAAAACCCTAACACTTGCAAAAACAGGAAAATGCAGCAGATATTTCCTCCCACCATATGAAGTTGTAACCCAACTTTCCAAAATGCAAGGCACCTTAGGCTTGGCAAGAATTTAAATACCACCAGGGACACCTGATTCAAGTACTTGGGGAAATGCCTCGGTGGGCTAGTAATATCCTTCAGAAATTCCAAACCGATGCAAGTATGAATGTTAATTGTTGTTTAAAAGCTTTAGGTTTTTCCTTTCATATTTAACAACAGAGCTTGTAGGGAAAGAAGTTTCTACTTCCTGTACGAAATTTAAGGAAAAAAAGAGTTATGAATGGAGAGCTCACAACTGAAATGCCACCATGAAGTGCAGCACACGCAGCTTCAATTGCCAGCTCTGCACTACAAAAAAGGGAAACAGACAGTAAGCCCAAAAACCTGGGGCAAATCGTCTGCTAAATTTACCAAAAATACGAAAAACCTTGTAACATTGTTCAAAATTCAATCTTAATAACTCTATCACCCTGTTTAACTTTGGACAAGTGAAGATGAGCACTATTATCCTTTTAGATCAATAAGAAATATTATTCAAACAAAATGCAGTACAAGCAGCCAGGGTCATAACAGAAACTAAAAAACAAGTCAATTTCAAGCTAAAAAGGAGCTGAGCACCCCTAAGCCTAATAAAGATTCCTATACTCAGTACTACACGATATAAATTACAAAGAAACCCTCCTATTTGTTTCTTGGCCCTTTCCATACGAAATTCTCTGCTCAAGTATTTTGATGACATTTAGGAAGAGTAGAAAATACTTGACCTACAGACCTGCATCCCAAATAGAATAGACATGATCCAGCATGCACAGGACGGATGCTTCGTTTTTCTAATAAGTATATCTCAGACAGAAGAGTAAAATATTTATAGGAAAGTATTAAAAAAATTGAAAGCATCCTAAAATATTCCTGGAAAAAGTGTTTGTATTGCAGAAAAATAAAATCTGATCTTTGCAAGTGGTTGTATTTCCCCAAAAGGGTATTTCAATCTAGTCTTTATTTGACTTAGCAGATGTGTGTTTGGTTTTGCGGTAACCAGCAGAACTGAATGAAAATTCATGGATGAGATGAGAATATGCAAAAGTCATCAACAAAGCAAAGACACAAGAATCAATTTGCCCTGTTAATCATATACAAAAACTAGGCATAGTAAACACAAAGGCTAATGCTATGATCTAAGTAATGAACTTGTCTGGAACATTGAGGAGAAAGTCTCATCTAACTGTATCTTAAGCCTTAATTATGTCAATCTTTATGGCAAATCATGCTGGTTTTGGAGTTTATTTGGTAGTTTGAACTAGTTCTAGAGAAAATGAGCATTATTATCTTGTGTCTCACGTACCCAGAAAAATTAAAAGCAAAATAAGAAAACAAAAACCCATAAAAATGGAAATTTTCTTATAAAAGTATGTAAATTTCATACAAAAATACAAAATTTGTAGTCACCTATTGGCACGAAGGCAGGCGATGACACCTGAACTCTCAATCTGCGTCAAGGTTTTCTCAGTAGAAATCCCACGAGAGAAGCAACAAACCCGAAGGCGGTTTGGCCGAGGCGGTAGCTGTGACGGTGATATTTGAAGGCCAGGAGAAGAAGCCAAAGGCCGTATGATGCTCAGACTCGTACTCGCCATATCCAGTGCTCCGTTTAAGTCTCACGTTTTCCCGTGTTGTGCGAGAAAGAACATAATTTTGGGCGGGACGGTATTTAATAGCCCTATCCGCTCTATGCATGGATTTTCATTACAAATTATCGCTTATTATATTAAATAAAAAAATTAATAAAAATAAAAGATGTATTTTTTCAAATTAAAAAAAATTCAGGATTTAATAGACTCAATTTTAAGAAAGAATAATGCTACTCTTACCACATTTGTATACCACATTCTCATACCACCTTATGTGGCAGCTGAGGTGGATAGCCACATCAATTAAAATGATTTAATATTTTCTTTTCTTTTATGGTTTATTCCAGTATTTATTTTTCTAATTGACTTAATTAAAATGCATTTCATTGATTTAATTGATGTGGCATATAAAATAGACATGCCACATCATGTGGTATAGAAATGTGGGATAAAAATGTGGTAAGTGTAGCATTACTCAAATTCTAACCCTAAATAAGAAAGTTTATCCTCAAAGAATGCTGCATCATACACTTGTACTTCAGAGTTGGATGGCAAAATTAAGATGATGTACATACATATTAATTCCAGGTTTACAATAATGAATATTTTAATACAATTTAGGAAACAATATCTGTTTTTGATACTACGTTACTCAAGTAACAACTAGTTTTCACTAATCTCTGTGTTGTAAAAATCATATCTGCAAGTGTTTGATATTATTTGCATACCAATTCAAAGTCTTGTGTAGATATTACACTATTGATATTCCTTGTAATAAGTGGCAGGATTTATGCTTTCCATTTGGTGCTAAGCCAAACTAGGAAGAAGGGAAAAAGAGTGGACTTCAAAAACTCTTCAACATGTTAGTGTTAATGAAAGGGATAAATTAATAGTTAAATTCAAATTCTATGTCTTAATTATACTAATGAAAAATCATCTTGTCAAGGCTTAATCATACATATTTGGTTTTATTTTTTTTATTTTTTATTTATTAATAGGAAGGAGAGGAATAGAAATTAAGATCTCTTCCAATATGGGGATTATAGTGCATATTACAATAATAAAATGAGATTTCTTTCCAAACATGAACGACAATGCATTAATTCAAACCCTTAAAAAAAAAGGAGTTGATGTCCCCAAATCTTTTCATCAAACTCAAAATTTCTATGCTCGGGATGGCTGAAGAACCTAGATTAGAATGTCTAAGCCCTACTTCTGAGATTGATTATTATGCTTGAATGATATTCAGTACTCATATTTTTTTATAGAATATTCTGGCTCAATAAGAATTAGTAGTACAATTTATCTGTATTATTATTTATTAATTTTTTTATTAAAATAAATTAATATTCGAAAGGCTTACGCCTCGCATAGCGGACTAGAAACGCATCACCTCCACACCATTGATTATAATAGAAATGATATAGTTTCTAGTTATATATCAAAAAAAAAAAAAAAAAAAAAAAATCAATGGTTTCTTTTCTATTTTTTCTGTATTGTTTTTTCACAATTTTTCTTTAGAGACCGTTTCTCCGGGAAATGTGTAGTTCAATAAGTACGATATGAAAACTCATTTTTGCTCCAGATTTATATATAGAATATCAGATATAGTCATTACTCCTGGATTCTTATTTCTTTTATGATTTGTTTTTCGGTTTAACCCTTTGCCCGGGTTCAATTGTGAAAGTTTTTGTATAGCATTAGCCTTTGTGTTTCACTATGCCTATTTGTATATGATTAACTCGTTCTCCCATGGGATTCTTTCAGCATAGGAGGACAAGACAAAGGGACCGTTTATCTCCTTTTCTTTTGTCATTATTATGTAGGACGTGTTTAACTGATGACTTTTCCATATTCCCACCATCGAATTTACATTCAGTTCTGCAAATTAAAACAGTGTGGACTGCATCTTCCTAAATAGCACACACATCAAACACCAAAGGGTTATAAGCCAGATGCTGAATTGACGAATTAATTTGAAAAGAAAAAAAAACATTAAAACCCAATCAAATACATGTACAAACACATCGACTATTTTTATTCAACATTTTCATAACAATACAAAAGATCTGTGGATGGAAATACAAACAACAACAAAAACCTAAGATCTAATCAAACTCAAATCATGCACTGTGTACTACATGAATTAAAATAAAAAATAACAACAGCAAACAACAATAAATCTAAAGTTTAAGAGACAGATCTAGGCCAGCAGCATCAGTATCGGATGTTGGAGGCTCACGGCGGAGAAGATCACCAAGGATTGGCCTGTTAATTTCAGAATTCGAACTCGAACCACCAAAGTTGTGAACAACATCGATTTCCTTATCAAACCTTGAAGCGCTACTGGTTCCTGGAAGCCCTAATATTCCACTGGGAGCATTAGCATGAAGGCCTTCTAGGTTGAGCCTATCAATAGTGGATTGGAAGTTCAAGAGGCTACCTGCCCTAGATGACCATGCCCCAGAGCTAGGGCCAAACCGCCCGAAGCCGGGGGTTGAGGACCATGGATAAGAAGGCTTGTGAATCATGGAATCCATTCTAACCCCAAGAGATCTATTGAAAGATCCATAGAGAGAGGGTGATGAGAGACTGGAATATGGATTGTAATAAGAAAATGGTGAATGTCCCAAGACACCTCCCATATTTTCAAGTCCTCCTTGCTGCCTTTTGGCCAAGGCGCGCTCTTGTTTGTGAGCGTTTTGATGCCCTCCCAATGCTTGAGAAGTAGAGAACTCCCTCTTGCAAAAGTTGCACGTGAAAACCCTAGGTTGGGATCTTTTGTCATCACTTCCACGTGGGTTCTCGTCTATGGTCTCGTTGGGTTGAGAGTGCCCTGAGACCGGGTTTGATGAGCCCGGGTTGGAAGCACCCAGGTTCGAAGGGTTGAACAGGCTGAGTTCAACCCTCGACGACGACGACCTTAACCCATGAGCAGAGTCGTCGTTGCAAAGCTTCAGATCAAGTCGGAGCCGAGAAATTGGTGATGGCGACGACGATGAGCTGACGACTGGTGGTGGCGGTGGTTGTTGAGTATCATCGTCATCAGAATCATCGATGACAATTTTCTCTTTCATTTTTTGGTTAAGATTTTCTGGGCCATCTTTTTTTGTTGGTGGCAGATCATCCGAGGTGGCTGAGATGTTAGAAGCCTCAGAAGTGGGGCTTAGACGTTCTAGTCTGAGTTCTTCACCCATCCTGAGCATAGAAATTTTGAGTTTGATGAAAAGATTTGGGGACATCAACTCTTTTTTATTAAGGGCTTGAATTAATGCCTTATCGTTCATGTTTGGAAAGAAATCTCATTTTGTTATTGTAATATGAATTATGTTTTGCTGTTTAATTGACAAAAGAATTTCATGTTTATTTCAAGTTCAGAAATTCCCATGTTTAGGGATCCTCCTTCTCTACATTTATGAACCATGTTCTGTTAGAGTATCCGCGTTTGTTTGAAATGTTTATTAAAGATTTTTTAAAATAATATTTTGTGAAATATCCATTTTGGTTCTCCTCATTATTGGTATAATATAATATCCCATAATTCAAGCCAGGAAAGCTGTGTTATCTCTGTACAATTTGAAACTAGTTAGAAAGTCAATTATTATTCCTTTGGGCGGACTGCTATGCATCAGTGATTGGTCCGAAGTCAAATAAGGCTAGAGTGAAATATCCTTTTCGGGAAATACAACCACTTGCAAAGATCTGATTTTAATTCTTCTACAATAAAAACACTTTTTCAAGGAATATCTTAGGGTGCTTTTAATTTTTTGAAGATTTCACTCTTCTGTCGGAGATTTACTTCTTGGAAAAACAAAGCATCTCTGTCTCGTGCATGCTGGATCATGTCTATTCAATTTGGGATGCAGGTCTGTAGGTCAAGTATTTTCTATTCTTCCTAAATGTCATCAAACTACTTGAGAAGAGAATTTTGTATGGAAATGGCCAAGAAACAAATAGGAGAGTTTCTTCGTAATTTTTGTTGTGTAGTACTGAGAATAGGAATCTTCATTAGGCTTAGGGGTGCTGAGCTCCTTTTTAGCTTGAAATTGACTTGTTTTTGAGTTTCTGTCATGCTTCCTGTGCAGGGAAACCTGCTTGTTGATGAATTGTGACCCTGGCTGGTTGTACTGCATTTGGTTTGAATAATATTTCTTATTGATCTAAAAGGATAGTAGTGCTCATCTTCATTTGTCAAAAGTTAAACAGGGTGATAGAGTTATTAAGATTGAATTTTATAGCGATGTTAGAAAGATTCTTTTGTATTTTTTTGTAAATTTAAGCAGATTATTTGCCCCAGGTTTTTGGGCTTACTGTCTGTTTCCCTTTCGTGTGGTGCAGAGATGGCAATTGAAGAATGTGCTGCACTTCATGGTGGTATTTTAGTTGTGAGCTCTCCATTCATAGCTCTTTTTTTTTCCTTAAATTTCGTACAGGAAGTAGAAACTTCTTTCCTTACAATCTCTGTTGTTAAATATGAATGGAAAAACCTAAAGCTTTTAAACAACAATTAATATTCATAGTTAACTGACTTGATGTTTTACTGTGAGTTAGATTTTTATAATTTGATCATATTTGTGTAATAATCGAATCAGTTGCATCGGTTTGGAATTTCTGAAATATATTACTAGCCCACTGTGGCATATCGCCAAGTATTTGAATCAGGTGTCCCTCATGGTATTTAAATTCTTGCCAAGCCTGCACAGGTTCTACTCTTTTTTCCCCTTCCTGCACAGGTTCTACAGCAGCTGTACATGACCATCCTACAAGAGTCCTAGGGGTAATCATCTTTTTCCTCATCAATATCTTGACATTTTTTTTCATTTTTGTGGGCTCTATAAGTCATGGTGTTTGACACGCATTAAAGCTTATAAGTAATATTTGCAGATATGCTGTGTCTGCAATTTTTAACATAAATATTGGTTCAATGTGAAAGAAGAGCCATACACTCTCGATTCCTTGGATGCTATATGAAATACCTTGTAGAATAAATGTTCAAGCTAGGAAATCTTGGATTACTTAGAAAACCCGTAATAGCTTCTCTTTCAAATTTCTCTAAAATAAATTTTATATACGGGTGTTTTTTATTGTTATTCAACTTTCTAATTCCATATTACAAGAAGGGTGAAGTACAGGTCCCCATAAATTGAATCCGTTAAAAATTAGTTATTCTGAATGTGTTATGTGCCCTGCAGGTAGGAACTGTACTAAATGTTGAGGATGCCAAAAGGAAATGATAGCAGGAGCCAAGTTTCTTAATTACGAGTCCTGCTATGGTGAAGGTATGCATTAAGAAAATTTTGGCCACTTTTTCTTTACTGAAACTTCTTATCATGAATTTCATTATTAGTTTCTCTCTCGTTTTGTTATTATTACTGGAACAGTCTTGTAGAAATATATATAGGAGTATGCTATTGTATTTTTGAGGAGAGGCAACCCTAATTTGACCAAGCCTCACTCTCTTTTCTTCTTTTTCTCTCCTCCCAATCTCTCAATTTTTCTTGTCTTCATCTAATCTAACTTCTAATTTGGCATGAGAGCAACCAAGTACATTTTGAGTTGGCATTGGAGCACATCTACCATGTTCTTCTCTCCATTCTACCTTTTATTGGGTTATGTTTGGTTATGATTGCTAGTTTGTCTGGGGCTGCGAGACAAACCCTACAATCATTGGGAGGCAGGAAAGTCTAGCAGATAGCAAGATAGATACTAGGTATCTTGAGTAATCAAACCCAGACTATGTGGGGCTCCCAACTTATCTTTGTAAAGGTTCCATTCCTTTTGGCATAGCATTTTCATATACATAAAACTGGTGATCTACTCCAATTTCGCTGATCCTCTCTTTACTTATTTTCTATCCTTGAATCTCTCTACTTTTCTTATCTTCCTCGCATGTAACTTCTACTATTTCCATTTATTATCAATTATGGTGTCTCTCCATGTTAAGGTGTTAGGATATGTATCTAATATTGCTTTTAATAACTCAAAAATGTGCAGTGGTCAGCAATATACTTCAAAATGATTTCACTGTTTTTCTTAGTGATCTGACTGCTTCTGTTGTGATGCAGGATGAAAAAGTTGAGGCTAAACCATTTGTAATAGGTGTAGTAAAATCGTATACCAATGGAGTTTGGAAAATGCTTTGACAGTGCTGGACATGAATTACAAAACTGGTTTTCACTCTTTTGCTGGTTTTGTTTTTCTCCTTTTTATGCGTTGGCTTCCATGTAACATGTTATGCTCCCTTGGATCAATAAATAATTTAGTCTAAGTTTATTTTGAATGTGTACTTCAAGCAATTGAAACCGTTCATGTATTTGTTATTACATTGTCAATATTAATCCGACTACATCACTTGCACTGGATTTTCACTCAATTCGCCTCACCTTTTTAAAATCGAGTGCCATGCTCAAACACTGGTTGATATTCTCAGTTGGGAAACTGAAACGTTGACCTTTCAGTACTTAATAGGCCAGAGCTCAAAGGCATGATTCATTTGTACAGCATGGAGGAAGAAGAAAGTGAGCCTGCGCAATTACGTATTAGGTCAGTTTCTCATCTTTATACGCATTTTAATCTAACCAGGTAAACTGTAAGGCATGCTTTGTTTTGCAACTTGCTGACTTGTATGTGTACGTATATTCTTTAGACATCAACTTGCTGCATGTTTTTGTTGAAACAAGTATAAATCTATCCCACTGATCCTGAGAATTTAGTATAAATCCTGTCACTTCGAGAGTCTGCTTCAACCTTGTTAACCATGGACACTCAAAAAATTGCTTCTCAAAAATAAAAATCATATATATGAGTTTAGCCAAGTTGATTAAAGTGGATATGATCTCCACTCTGCATAGGAGTTCGAATCACATTCGATAATTTAGATTAAATTAAAGTATAATATCATTTTGCATTAAAGTTTGAATTCCCTATGATAATTTAGATTAAATAGAAGTATAATGCGATTTGTATTTAAAAAATAAAATAAAAAAGGTCAGACCCCTAATTTCACAAGCCCTTCTCCCCCAAAGCAAACATAACGAACAAACCAATCCCCTAATTTCACTTCAACAATCAAAATTCTCTCTCTCTCACAATTTGAAATCTCAATTTTCCCGACCCCAAATAGCGATGGTTTCGCCGGCTGGTCAAACCCCAGCGAACCCACAACTGATTCAGCAGTTCCTGAGCTCAGTCCTCTCGCAGCGTGGCCCCTCTTCCCTCCCTTAGAGCAACTCCACCCATTTGCCCTTAGCCATGGCAAGGGGGGAGTTAGGGCAGCCACTATTCACGTGAATAGTAGTTGCCCTTACAAATAGTATTTTCCGTTTCCACCCGTTGCCATGGCAAAGGGCAATTACTATTCATTTTTTTATTTTTTTCACAACTTTTTTTACCATAATAATTAATTTGGATAATATTTTCGGATAAGATTTTCGGGTTCCTACGTGTCAATACTATTCATATCTCATAATCGGATAAAATTTTCAATTTCAAATTTCAAATAAATTTTAAAAAAAAAAGTTGGTATTTATAGAAAAAAAATTCATTAATTTTTGGGTTTTTTAAAAAAATTTCCGAATTTTTTCCAGTATTTTATTGCAAAAAAATTGGATGTCGTTGGATTGGAGGAAAAAATCAGATCGGAGAGCCCAGACGACGCCACGTGGCAACAGGAAAAAAAATCAAATCAGCGAGGTACTGTAGCGATGCTGTAGTGGGCTGTAGCAGATACTGTAGCGCTACAGTCACCCCCCCTCGTTTTGGACCTCAGGCAGAAGTTGCCTTCGGGCCAGCCCGGGTTGGTGGGTCCCACACCTCCCCTGGGCCTGGGCTGTCTGCACTGGAACCCCCCCCCCCCCCCCCCCCCCCCCCCCCCCAGCGGCTGGGCTTACCGCTGGAGAGGCTCTTATGCCTAAGATACCAAATAGCACATCCACAATCACCTCGTCTCTCTCACCACCGCCTACCCTTCCCTCAACCCCAAAACAGTGATATGTTCACCCAGAACGATGGTCGTTCTGCCAATCTCCTCCAGGCCAACGGCACCATTCCCATGTCGTTTCATGGTGACACCTACAACATCCTCCTCAGCATCTGGCTCATGGAGTCCTATTCCCGCCACCCCCCGCCTTCTACGTCAACCCCACGCTCGGTATGATCATCAAGCACTCTCACGCCCACATTAGTCCCTCTGGTTTGGTCTCAATCCCTTAAAAATCTAGTATAAGCTCCTTTAAAACTCGATGCACTGATTGCCACCCCATATAAAAAATCAACTCTTTTTATAGCCATGGTACTATGATAATACGGTTTACGTCCCATGCTAGAGTTTAGAAGAAAAAAATCTTAGATTAATTCTATAGCGTATTCTTCCATTTTCTAACAACCGATAATCCACTACTTTCTTTAAGCAAACATGGATTTTCAATAAAAATTGTCGCTTATTCTATATAGAAAAAAAAAGGATGTATTTTTTAAAATTAAAAAATAATTCAGGATTTAATAGACTTAATTTTAAAGAATTCTAACCCTAAATGAGAAAGTTTATCATCAAAGAATGCCTCCATCATACACTTGTACTTCAGAGTTGGATGGCAAAATTAAGTTGATGTACATACATATTAATTCCAGGTTTACAATAATGAATATTTTAATACAATTTATGAAATAATATCTGTTTTTGATACTACGTTACTCAAGTAACAACTAGTTTTCACTGTGTATGCATTAATCTCTGTGTTGTAAAAATCATATCTGCAAGTGTTTGATATTTGGTTGATATTATTTGCATACCAATTCAAAGTCCTTGTAATATCTACCGTAACATTCCTTGTAATAAGTGGCAGGATTTGTGCTTTCCATTTGGGGCTAAGCCAAACTAGGAAGAAGGGAATACGAGTGGACTTCAAAAACTCTTCAACATGTTAGTTTTAATACTTAAATTCAAATTCTATGTCTTAATTATAATAATGAAAAATCATCTTGTCAACTATTTTCTTTTTCAAATGATGTCTTTTAACATTTGGGTGTCCTTTAATGACCATTTCTGACCATGATATTGACACGCTGAGCACACTCACACCAAAAAGGACGCCTTTGTTTCCTATTCTACTCGGCCCATTCAATTACTTTATGAGAAATGCTATTTAGACACACAACATTAACCACTTTAACTGACCACCTTATGTGGCATTTCTATGAGTGACCTCATGGCAACATTCATTAATTGACATGGCATGACACATCAGTTGCCACATAAGCTTGTCAGTTAAGATGGTCAATGTTGTGTGTCTAAATAGCATTACTCAAAAAGAAAACCAACATTTAAATGTTGAACGCAACTGGTAGTGTAATGTTGAATGATACCTTTTGGGGGACTTCCAAACTAGACCATTTTGCGGACCCAAATTGTAATTGGACTCAAGGTCTAAAATATATGTGGTTTCGAAAATATCGGTAGTCTAAAAATATTGAAATTTCTATGGAAATATCGGGATATTATCGATATTGATAAAAATTGAATAAAAACCACGGAATTTGTAAGACAAACTTGAATTTTTTTTTTGAAACTTTGGATGATGTTTATTTAGTTAATTATCTATTACGTTATCATAAATATTTTTTTCAAAAAAAGGAAGGAAATACATTGCATGATGAGTTTAAGTGATTTAAGTTGATTATATAGTGAGCTGACAAACACTACGAGTGTAGAAATATGTAGTGATTAATGAAATAAAATTAAACACACCATAATGATTTATTTATAATGATTCACTACAATATTTTACACTTTATACATTACATGGTAAGATACGTAAGTGACTTAATATCACATAGAGTTCATTCTTTCTTTCTTTTTTGGATTAAAGGCCAAAGGCCAATTGACTTTATTCATCAATAGAATGTAAAGAGGGCAAATCATTCTGAAGGTAAGAGTGAAGCCAACTAGGCCCCTCTTCCATACAGTAACATATCTCATTACAAGATAGCAGTCCAGTCGTTGTCCACATAATTCAATCTTATGTAAAAGTGAGGCCCAAAATTCTTCAAAATGAAATCTATGCCTTCCCTTCCTAGTACAAGAAAATCTGCTTTCGTTGGGACCTAACTCCAGAGAGATTGGATAATGATATGAAAAGTCAGAAATTAAGTTAACAACCTTTGCTTGAGGAAAAAACTCCAAAAGTACATCATCTATAACCAAAGCTCTATCAAGACGCTCTTCCATCATTGCATTGCCTTCCCCACCTTAATTCCACCACGTGAAATGAGGCCTTATATAATTTACCTCACAAAGGGCAACATTGTTAACCACATCTTTGAACGCATCCATTGCCATTCTACTTCGATCTCGTCCTCCTGACTTCTCCCATTCGTGCATCACTTCGTTAAAATCTCCCATGCAAATCCAAGGCCTTGAATTTCTATGAGAAAGCCTGCAAAGAAGTTCCCATGAATGATGTCTTTGGCTTGGTTCTGAATGACCATAAAACCCGATAAATCGAAAGGAGAATCCGTTAGGATTAGTAGCAAATACATCAATATATGCAGTTGAAAATGAATTAACTGACACACTCCAACCCTCTTTCCATAGCAATAAGCCACCACTCAAACCTTTACGTCCCACAATTTCACTCTCATGAACCCCCAACTGTAACTTAAACTGCTCCATCTATTGATATTTAGTTTCTGACAAGAAAACTAAGCTGACCCTATTAATTTGAGGAGGAACCTCAAGTCATGGAACGTACTAGGGTTCCCAAGCCCACGTACATTCTAAGCGAAAATATTCATGATGAGTGACAGGGTAGTATTGCTGACCCCGTCACTGGTATTGTAGCCTTTTCTCCTTCCTTGATTAAAGTTGCAGATTTCCTCCTCTTCCTCCCTTCAACCTCCAAAGTCTCCATCGTCTTCCGTATTACTCTTTTCCGCCCTGAAACCCCAGAAAACAAGGTTTGTAGAGTTTCTTCTTGAGCCAAAGGTTGGTGAGGTTGGCGCGCAGTAGATAACTGCACTCCTCTCACTCCTGTCTTCCACTTTCGCTTACCCAATTCCTTTTCAGTGGCACCATAAGAAAAATTTACCAAAACTTGGATCCTCAGGGCCTTAGGTTGGGTAGCAACCTCTTCCCTTAGCCCGCCATGGACAAGTTGACTGCTTTGGCCCACTTTGCCTTCTGGCCCAATATTTCTTGATGACCCACTAAAATTCTCATGGGAAGTATGCTCAAATGGCACCTTTGAATTTGTCCAAGAATTATTTTAAATTTGTCCATGACTTGAATGTCCTAATTGTGCCACATTAATTCTCTTTCCTTTGATAATTATCTTCAAACCGTTACTTTTTTTTCCTGGCTCCTTGAGAAATGCCCCATTAATGTCAACATCCCTAGTACCCTCCCCCAGATCATTCTCATTTACAGTCATATGAGAAACTTTACCCTTACCATAACGGTCACCATTTAATGCTTCTTTACCAGCACGCCGTTCTTCCACCGGTACTCGCCCACCATCATCACCGCATTGAGTGAATTTGAGCCCACCACTTCCCCAAGAGCCATAAGAAAAATTTGAAGAGCTCTCTGGTACACCGTTAGTGTCCCTTTTAGATACAATGACAGCCGCAAATCATTGCTATATTGGATTCCACATCCAAAAATTTTGGTCAAACAACTCCTCGCTTCATGTCCCAGCAACCCGAATTTGCACAAAAGATTGGTAAACGGTCATATTTAAAACGAATCCAGTGTTTAGCTCCCCCACTATTGATCATCACTCCTCTTGCCAATGGTTTACTAATATCCACTACCACCCTCACCCTGATGTTGACGAACAAAGCCATTTTTTTCTTTCCCCAAATAGATCTTCGAGACCTCCCTAAAGCAGCTGCCTATGAGTGCCCACCGTCATCTCTCCTCGACAGTCAATAGGTAAATCATGAAGCTGAATCCAAAAAGGGCAAAAATTGAGCTTTAATGACCCTAGTTGAGGTTTTAGAAATTCGTCAAATGAAAAAGTTGGCTTTTGAGATTAGATTGCATATACTTCATTGAGGTTAATTTTGTCATTTGCATATATTTTTTTTTTCAATGAAATCATTAATTTTTAGACAAACAATCAACGAAAAGGGTTTTTGTGAAAACAAATTGAAACCTCATGAGGTGTGCGGATATGTTCCAAAATATCCTTGACCCGAAAAAATAATAATATTCTCGATATTTCGTTCATATTATCTAAATTAAACATTTAAATATGCAGGGGCAGTCCTTCCTTATCGCAGATTTATTTTCGATGGTCAAACATTTAAAATGCGATATATTCAGCAACACTTATATAAGTTATAGCCTTGTAGGGGATCTGGTTCATATTTTGTAAGAATTTTTTTGTTGCTTTTTTTTTCCCCCATTTGTTTTAATTAAAGAGAAAGAAGGAAAACACATCAGAACCAAAAGAAAGAAAATTACTACACAAGCTCTTAATATCCAAAACTTTTGTACATCAAACAAAAATTTTGTTTTCAAAGGGTCCAATTGTCATCCAAATCTATACAATCAGCAGACTATATACCACATGACTGTATCTTCCACAGAGCATGCTGCTTATTAAGAGGAACTTCTGAACAGGCAGGCACTGTACATGCAAACTGATTCAAGCAGCACTAAGACAGTCTTCCCACATTCCACACTTAGAACTGAAGCTTCCTCCCCCAAGCTGCTGTGCATATTCAGAGATAGCCGCTCGGGCGCAAACATCCCATGTCCTTGCTATCTCCCCAAGGGACAAAGGTTCCGTCAAGCTCCGGAGAGATATATTGAGTTTTGACTTCACCTTTGCTGAAAGATCTTCTAGCTCATCACTGCCAGAGCAACAAGGGGTACAAGTTCATTAGGCCAAGAGGACAAATAGTAACTATACTGGTAATTAATCATCATTTGCAAGGGTGGTCAGATGAAAAGCATGCCAATGAATTAAGTTGATAATACGATTTTATAAAATCTGGCATAAATCTTCATAATTGACCATGTGGCACAAAAACAGTGAAAATCTCGGACAATCATTTAAAAGCCCAAGGCCTAAATTAATAAGAGCACTCCTCTCTACAGAGACAAATAACCACTATAAGTTTATAGCGACAACTTAAGGAACTTTTTGTCAAAAACAAAGAAGAAAAAAAAAGAGAAGTTTCACTGCCGTATTTTCAAGAGTGAGTTCACTCTTTGTCATGATTTCCATCATCATTATGTATCAAGAAGAAAGTAATCTGATTCATGGAAAATGTAATTGCATATTGATGATGGAGACATTGTGGCATGTGGTGATAAGAATTAAGAAGCAGGTATTGGTCGCCGAAAAATGTGTGGGATGCCAAACATTGGTGAGGGAAATTAGTAGGTGCGCTTGGAAAGAGATTAGTCTTGGCTATGAGGATTTCATCAAAAATTGTGAGCTTGGTAAGAAATGAGGAGAGAATAGGATTTCGGCAAAGATGTTTGGGAGGGGGAAGACCTTTTAATAGGGAATTCCCTCAGCTCTATATCTATCCTGTAGCCTTAATGTAGCAGTTGTAAGTACAGCAATGAATAACAACTTTCCTGTCTGCTGGGATTTTGGCTTTAGAAAGAATCTAAAGGATGAGGAAGCTGGGGAACGGGCAGGTTTTTTGAAAGCATTGAAAGGGTTGGGACTTTACATTAGTAGAGAGGATGTAAGGAAGTCACTCCTAGGTAAGTCAGGCACATTTTCTGTCAGTTCATATTTTAAATATTTCTGCAGTAATATAGCCAAAACGCCTCCAGATGTGCAGATTTGGCATGGTTGGTGGCAGTCGAACATGGAAGGATTCCAAAGGAGGAGACCTCTTATGTGGCTGTCCCTCCAGTGGTGCATCTTGTGCAAGGCTGATTATGAAGATGTGTGAGGAAGGCAGTGTGACAAGTGTTGTGCCAGCTAGTTGTTGTGCTTGGTGAAAAGAAAAAACATAATTTTTTTGGGAAGGGAAGAAAGATGACAGTTGCTTCAGGTTGTAGCACGATGTATAAAACAAACAGCAAATAAAGACAAAAGTATAGGCTCATTGTCTCACCTGATGTCCACTCTCAACTTGTCTAGAAATATGGGGGAGCACAACGGATAATTTGCAGGAACAAGCAATCGTAAAGGCTGGATTGGAAGCTACATAGACATTGAACACAAAGTTAATACGGGAATCGAAAAGTAGCCATGTGGTTTCTGATCACATTTGGACTAATGTGTAAAACAATATGCTGAAACCTGCTCTGACTTCAGACTTGGACTGATGGCCACAGCAATGAAGGAGCACCTGACGATGGTTCCTTCACCAACTTTAATTGGGGCTGAGGCTACTGTTGGAGGGGTGTCTTCATCACTAATATCCAGTACTGTGTCTATTAGTTGGCGGTTGATTACTGTAATTTCTTCTAAGAGGGTTTGATTCACCTGCAACTTGTGATGCATTAATGATAACAGTAAGGACATGGAGAAATACTATGACCCAAAGTTTTGAGAAGGCAGCTAAGTTTCATATGTGTATAAATATAATATATATATATATATATCTATTTTTGTAATCCCAATTCAACCCTATGGGGTCTTACTTTAGGAGATGTACAAAAGCTTACCAGAAAGGGATACCACAGTACAACACAAAGACAACATCAAATAATTAGAATCAGGAACAATAATTGACTTTCTCTACCTAAAGGAAATATTATACAGCTTTCCTGGCTTGAATATAGGGATATTATAACAATAATGAGGAGAACTGACAGATATTTTACAAAATATTATTTTTTTAAATATCTAATATACATTTCAAACAAACACGGGTAACAGAACAATGTTAGAATCTAGATTTTATAAAAAATTACAGAAAATGGTTCATAAATGTAGAGAACGGGATCCCTAAACAAGGGAATTTCTGAACTTGAAATAAACATAAATTCCTTTGTCAACTAAACAGCAAACTATTTTCTTGAGCAAAACATAATTCATGTATTGTGGTATTAAAAGCAAAGTTTTAAAATGATAATGTCCTCCTGGTTTTTATCAGGTGGAAGATATGCAATTGAGCTTTAGATACTGACTCCAAATCCCATGCACATCAGATTGCCTACAGATTGTCTCATTTTCTTCTCTTCTATTAATTCTGGAATTGAGACTTCCCTAATATGTTCTTTATATGCATAACTTATTACCTATTAGATAGATGTTCTAGGGAAAACTAATTAATTAATTCTAGTATTATAATAAATCAATCACAAAGTCAATAAAACTCTGCAAATGATGCTGACATCATTTTCATGGGAAAGTAACCACAAATTAATTACTCTTTCAGATAACCTACAGTAATTCCACAAATTCATAGAATAGACAAAATACGGTCTATCTAATCTTTTTATGAAATTATGTAGGTTAAGCTACGGGTTACTATAATGAACCAATGAATGAATACTGAAATACGTTTCAGAAAGATCCTCTCAATGCAAACAGAAATGTGAGATATGACTTAAGAGTCCCTTTCATACCAGGCAGTTGTTACAAATGAAAGAAAGAAACTGGAAGACAGATAGTATTTGGGTCATGTGTAGCAGACAAGAGATAGAGCACTTTCTTTTTATATCAGATGGTAATGGCAAGAAAAATGAGCAAACCATTAAAACCAAAAGGATCACAGTGATGGTAGTTTCTCAACTGCACTGATGCTCTGTTGCAGGCAGCATCCATGAGAGAGTGCTATCATTAGATATAATTATTAGCTATAAGAAATTAAAAGATCCTATCAAACCAGCAACATACCTCAATCCTAGGCCTTCTGATGTAAGATATTGCAGTTGAATCCAAGTCAAATTTCTCCTTATCACTAAACTCCGGTAAGCTATCAACAACATGCATTGGCACTGTTCTGCAGCGTTTAAGTTTCCTTGTTTGAAAGGTGTTATCTTGCCAGGTCAAATACCTCTTTAGCAAATGAGAATTGGTCACTTCCACAAAATCTTTACCAAACGAACCTATAGATCTCCCATCGGTTTCTGGTCCTAATATTCTATCAGTTGTACACAGTATGGAACCAATATCCAAAACAGCAGCACTTAGTGTTTTAGATGACATCAAGTTCACCTGCAATGGGACAAGGATAATAATTTTCGATGTTAAGCGGTAAGTCCAAAACTTTCTAGAACAATCAAGGAGGAAGTTGCAACAAATCAAACTAACCACTTTAGTTAAGCGCTGAATAGGCTGCTCAGAAGCAGTCAACTCATCAGAAATTATTGTTGAAGTGTTATGGTGAATGCCATTAGTGTACTCTTCAAGCAAGGGTGACGCAGACATCCCAGGAGTGCTGATGACAATGGGCGATGGAGATTGTGCAACATTGACTTGTGGCTCTCCAGTACTCCCAGCATTTGAAAGGGATGAAGTATCAGAAATAGGTTTCTCAGAATCTCCTGTCCTAGATGATGCAGCCAAGGGAACCAAAGAAGAAATTTTAATAGAGGGGGAGTTTGCGGGATACAAAGTCGTTCTAGCTTTTGTAAGGGGTATCAGCAGATTTTTCTTGTCAATCTGAGAAGAGTACTGAGAAATTTCTTGACAGGAAGAACCAAGAATTTTGGGCACAGCAGGAGGAAATGAAGCTCCAGACTGCAGCTTTACCGGCTCATGATGCTGGTGCACTATTTTCTGTTGTTGCACCAGTTGCTCCGTGATCATGTGCCTTCGAAGTTCTTGCTTTGGGTTTTGAGTCTGTACAGCCGGCTCTTCTTTAGGTAATTTGAGGTGCATATCTTTAAGTGTACTACAGCTAGAATCAAGAGCATTTAAATTAGACTGGGTTTCATGTATGGGTATTTGTGACGAGGTCTGAACCATAGGTTTTTGAGGACTGCCTGAAGGGATTTTTGAGGATCCTGAGGCAACCTGCTGCACTGCAGTCAACGAATTTGCTTGTCCTGAATATTGCTCAGTCAAATTCTTTCTCAAATGCACCATGTTATGTTTCAGGGTTGGATGCTCTGCTGGAGACCTAGAACTGTTCACCAAGTTTGTCGCATTGCCTGTTGCAGAACACTGCAAGTTCACTGACTGCAATGGTAGCTTCCTTTCGTCTTGATGTGTACGAATTTGAGGAGTTTGAGAATGAAGTTGCACCATTTGACGCGTAGAGTGCACATCAGAAGGAAGTTGTCCATGCTGCAGTGAGGGAACAGGCTTTGCCCTTCCATATGTGTGAAGAATAAGCAGTATTTGCCTCTCCATTGAACCCAGATTCTCCTTGTAAGAAGGTGAAATTTTGCTTTTGGGCACATTTAGATGCAAAATGATCTCCGTCAACCTATTCTTCAATGCTTTATATCTCTCAATACTGACTCTTTCTGTCTGTTGAGAGACGGAATTGAACTGGAGAAAATTCAGAGATTTTTAAAAACAATAATAGAAATTAGTCATGTATAAAATTTAAAATATAAGCTGAAAAAGCATTTGTTCTTGTGTTGGATAGATAAGGTAGAAAACTTGAAGAAGTGAAGCACTAACTTACCTGCTGGATTGTATATGTCACTTTTCGAAGCATATCACTAAGAGGTGTTAAAAACTTGCTTTTTAAACTTTCAACCTGCAAAATAACATTTTTTTAAAAATATTCAGTTACAGATATAATTCTTAAATAAAATTTCCCTATGCAACCATAGGAAGACAGTAATTTTATCTGCACACAAAAATTATGACACACAAAAACACACACACACACACACACACACATTATCAGGATGAGAAGATTTTGCATATGCCAAATGATCTAGAAAATAACAATCAGATAAATAAGTCAATAGTTGTGTAAGAAAGAAGGCTGAAATTTGGCTATTAATATTTTTCCCGATAGGAAATATGTAATGTATACTAATGAGTGTAGAACACAACCCAAGTGGACCAGCAGTCTGCAAAAGATCCTAGCTTCTGCCTACAAATGCAGGGCACCAAACAAGAAAGATGAAATGAAAAAAAAGAGAAAGAAAACAAGAATGAAACAAAACAGCTCTCAATCTACAGTCAGATGAGGAAACAGCAGCTACCCAATCCATGTTCAAAAAGAAAAAAAGGGGCTGTCACAGGTTGCAGGGGAAATTGAACCCCAAAAGTGATGCCCCTCCGACTACTCAAAATTCCTGTTATTTTCTTTCCACTATCGACCAAATAATTGCTAACAAACTATATCTCCATAGAACCTACGGCTTCTCTCCACCACCAACAAGGAAGTGTATCATGAAGAAAAAGTAGATAGCCTCCATTTATTTCATGCAGGGCAAAATAAACCCTATTTCACGAAGAAAAGAATTTAGGTGGAAAGCCAAGAGCATAAAACTGATATTTTCGGGTTTCTGCACAATTGTGAGTCATAACAAGTTGGTTACTCAAAAATAGTTTAGTAATGAATTGAAAATGTCAGACTAAAAATGTTCCAATTCGACCAAGGAACAGTTTAAATGAAATGCATAAAACCCCACTTTCCAATTCACCAAAATGAAACCAGTTAGTTATACTAAAGTTCAACAACTTAAATCATTTATGTTTGAGTTCAGCTAACTTTTCCATGTGTAAGAGGATGCTTATGCCTCCACTAGAATTATGCATCAAGCCACACAGTGATTGGATGCAAATTTAACATCCAAGAATAATTATTTTTCCAACCTAAACTCTAATTGCATTTAATGGTGTAGTTCATTATACTTTAATCACGGAGTTTGTCATAATTTGACACGACGTTATTATTGCTTGTGTATTACTGTCTTATCTAGGATAATCAGTCCTCATTTTTTAACTACAATATGAAGTCTATTTCCTCCCTCTTTGTTCTTTTCTCTTTCTTTTAATAAATTCTCCCTACAGACGTTTGCAAAAAAAAAACAAAGGGTAAATAAATAATCTCTCAGTCAATCAATTAAGTCCAGTGCTTAAGCTAGAGTGGACTACTATTAAAATAAGATGCATAGCCCACAATTGTGGCCTATATCAAACAATTAGAGACCTGACTCAAGATATTTAAATAAAATACAAACATAAACAAAGTACAAGCTAATATAGTAATAAAATGCAGGAACTTGGCTTAGACTAACAAATCCTCTCCGACTAATATTTCATATTAAGTAATTAACTATTCTTACAACTTGCAGCAGCACAACAGTGCCCAAATAACATTAGAATAGAGTAATAGACAGTCAGCATAAATTCGCATAAAAAAAGGTTAAGAATAAAACATAAGCAATCAAATGAGAGAGAGAGAGAGACATAGACAAAGACAGAGAAAGAGTACCTTCCTATAGATATCCTCTTGCCAGTTGTCTACAAATGAAATCCTTTTCTCAGATGTGGACGTTACTGTTCCTGTAAAATTATAAAAATATGCAAGCACAAGTCAATTGAAAGTAGATTTGATAGGATGACTGTGCAAATAGAAGTGAGGGTTGTATTTAATTCTACAATTTTTTTTTCAATTAAAAATTCATTCTGGCAGAGATGAATAGATGCCCTAAGAAGTGAGCCTCTTTTGGTACAAACTAATAATCAAGGTGAAAATCCAACTTCTACATAATTCCAGAAAATGGCAATGGCTTCCAGTTTAAAAAGGTATATATATGTATAACATATCTTTACTGCAGATATTTATTCCTAGAAGCTAGCTAATATTGTCGTAGAGATTTTGCAGTTTGTTAATGGAGTCGTCAAAAGTTTCACAAAAGTATTGCAACAACTATGATTACCCAGAAGCTAGGGTGTGATGACTTATAATATAACTAATCATCAATCAGAGAAAAATTTAATTTCACTGCTAAAAGATATGAGAATCCAAATAAGCTGCAAGAGGAAAGAGGCAACCAGGCTTGATAATGAAGAGAAAGTCATGTCAATCAATAGATAATAAAACCAACCAACAGAATGATGAGAAAAAAGGCAGTCAGGCTTTTCAACATTTATGACATTTGCCTTTGGGTTGAATTTAGGACTAGCCAGCAACATTTAGAGGTTACCCACACATCGTAAAAATTAGAAACTCAACAATATAACAATAATGTATCTAGGAAGGTGTTTCTACTTATTTTCTTTTATCTAACAAATCTATTTTTTCTGCCAAATTACATGATTTGGTTTTACAGTTTTACCTGATGTTTGATATGTTTTGCTGCTGATCTTGTTCTGTTGGATTTGGCAGCAGTCGCATCTTATCTGGCTGTGATTGAGAGTTCAGTTGCCTCTCGAGAGACTGTGGTTGTGACCGTTGACCTTGATTTGGCAGAAGAGCCGAGCAGTGTGTTGGGTTTCCTCCTGCATTTTAAAATTGCTTTGGAGCATGCCTGAGCTAGCACATTGTGTTCCAAGCAGCTGCGAGCTTTGTTGCGGTACAGAATATTGTTTCTTTCTGCCAATTGTTCATGATGTGCACTTGAAAGATTCATTTTTTGTACCTGAAACCATTGTTGTACATTATTTGGTTGGCCTGGTAACCTAGTCTGTTGCTGCTGCAAGCCAGGAGTACCTATCAAATGTGATTGCTTTGGTGATTGCATTGCTAGATTATCTGGTCTTGATGATACATTTTGATGATATCAGGAGTCTCTTGTGATTGGTGTATTTGCCTAGATGCTGTGTGAGGATGATTCTTAATCACAGAGCGTGTTGTCTGCTCGAAAGAAGACATCTGATCCTGCCGAAGATCAGAAAGTGGAGCAACATGTGTCTCAGAAGGCCGTATGGCAGGAGTTTGCATGACAGATTGTTGAGATGTCTGTTTCTGAGCAGGTTTTAAGAGTTTCTGCTGCTGCTGCTGCTGGTACTGCTGTAGTTGTTTTTGCTGGCTATACATGATGGTGAGATGTTTTCCTGCTTGACCTGAATACCAAGATGATGATTTAGTTGCTCATGGTTCTGCTGAGTACCAATGTGGGGTAAAGGTTGTCTCCCTTGCGCCTGTCTCACATTATTGGCAGAAACATTGATAGGTGCCCCTTGCCCTGATAAATTTCCTACGACTTCTGCGAGTTGGCATTTCAGTAGCACTGTTTGGCAAGGGAACCCGAGCTGAAACACTGACAGTCGACCCGTGCAGATGCTAAGTTAGAAGAAAATCCACCAGATGCAATGGTATTTGGAACATTAGGCAATGAATGTTGTTCCCGTGCTTGAGACTGATCTCTGGATTGAACAGCAATTGATTGGCCTTGATTACCACCTTGGGGATGGAGTGCCATACGATGTTATTGAAAATAAAGATCGAAATAGCAAGATGACGTAATTGGAATATAGGTGAAGTATATAAGAAATATACACCAATATTACTCTTCAACCCAGTGATACCATATTTGATTTGTGCCACCAAAGATATAAAAAACAGTTCCCAGTTTTTTCCCCAAAAAAAAACCTAATATAATTTTCTGTTTCATGATTGACAAAACAAAAACAAAAATATCAAATAGAATTTAGCTAGGGAATATATAATACCATATGTTATGTATCCAAGAAGATATATAAAACAACAGAATAAGCTAAAATTGCGTAATATTTTGACACTGTTCCAGATTTAAGAAAGGGTCATGATTTTGGCACTCCAAATCACCCTAAAATACCCTCATGCACTCCTCTTGTGAGAGAGAGTAGAGGAGTGTGGGAGGTGATATCAGGAGTGCTAAAATCATTTCCCTGTAGAAAAAATAAAAGCCTAAATCTTTTCTTATGCATAATGCAAACTCTATAATTAGTTTTTCAAATGATGTCTTACCTGGATTCGAGGTGTTTAGACCAGAATAGGGAGGGTTTGACTTTGATGACGAAGGAACCATTGCCTCCAACCTTGACATTATCTTCATTACATATTCTTTCTAAATTAAAAAAGAAATGTCATTAAATTTACACTCTTTCGTTTTAAATAAGCATAAATAAATAAATAAAGGCATTAGCGAACTGCAATGATTTATCTTCTAAAACCTAGGCAGTCCAGAAATATCACAATAACTAAAAGGAGGCTGTTGAGTTTCAAGAGCGCAAGGCTGAGGAAAAGAACAGAATATGTGCTTGAGAAGAAAGGCATCTCATAACCTAAGGTACCTGGTTTCTGGCAGCCATATAAATCTTTTCCTCGAACTTTAGAGCAATATTCTTGATTTCAGATATACATTTTTTCCGAGTCAGAAGATGGAAACGCTTCCTTAAGGTATTCATACTGCATGAGAATTTTTCCGCATCAGAAAGTTACTAGCCATGTAAGCTCAAGAAGAGATCAATGTAATAGTTTTGGTAAACAATCAGAATGGCTTAGTCAAAGAATGGTATTGTAATATATAAACATTCAAATCTACGCGAGGCTCAAAATCTTGGCTTGCAAAATTCATAACTAATACAGAAGAAAAGTTAAATACTGCAAAACAATTAGTCATGCTGATGCTCACCCAAGCTCAGCCTATGTAGAATTATCATAAAGCTTAACATGTCTAAATTAATATTATTTATTTATTAAGTAATTAAACACTTATTAAGGCAGTACCCACAATGTACATCCAAAATTGTAATGACACAAAGTATTGTACTAATCCAAAATTGTAATGCCAAGATAATATTTAAGCAATCAAAGAAGGAAAATCCTTGAGGTGGAATTCAAACAATGTTTTGATATGATTAATGCTATTCAACTTACATCTTATTACAACTCTTTCTCGAGAATCTGCAGGAAATTGAGTTCTCCAATCGACGGGCTCCATATCGAGTTTTAGCTTGAACAGGCCTTTAATAATCAGTAACTATAAACAGGACAAGGGAATTCGTAGGTCACATTAAAAGAACAAATAGTGACGGTAGATATATAAACAGTAAGGACTGGAAACAGGTTCAGAAAAACCTCCACCCTAATGACAACCTGCATGTTACTTATCGTACAATGAATACATGTGCTTGTATCTTATAGACATTACAATTTTTCCTTGTCGATTTCGTAAAGCCAACAAAGGAAATCCAGAGGAAGCATCCCCAGTGAGTCAATGACTAAACTTTGAAACATATTTAAATAAAACCACTTGCATCCCAGTCAATCAAATGATACTCATAAAAGGCTACATCACATAAATCATGGCAAACTCCCATCCCCTTTCATGATATGCACCACTCAGTAGAGAGAAGGGGAAGTTACACCATGAATGTGGCGGAGACATTAACTAGGACTTCCCTTTATTAATTATATATTGTATTTATCATGATTCTGATACTACTTGGGCAGATTTGTTCAAATAAAAGAATCACAAACTTGTAGACATGCTTGAGAACAGAACACACAGCATCATGTAACTCAAGTCTGCTTTCAATACGAAAGCAAATAATAAAGATTATGAGGCCTAAAAGACTGGTTAAACTACATTGGAAACAAACTTCTTAGATATACATAATTCTTTATTACAGGGATTCCAGAACTGCAAATTCTCTATTACAAGTATCCACAGTCGTTTACCAATTTAGTCTAAGGCCGGGAGGTGTTTTAAAACTGCATAATAACCAGTGTTTTGTTAAAAATAAAAATAAAAATTTTGCTTTTAAGTTGAAGAGACCCTCAACCCCATATCTCGATACTCTCTCAATTCTGCTCTCTTGCTTTCTTCTTCTTCCTCTCCCCATTCTATTATAGAATTGAAAATTACCAACGGGTACTGTGCCTTTGACCTTTTTTTTTCTTCCTCTGATTTTAAAAACAAAAAGAAAAATTCAAAAAATTGGAATTGTTACTAAATGACGTATCGATGTTTCAACCTTCAGTAATGTAGAATTTTGCCAAAAGCCTAAAGGAACATTAATAACTTAGTGATTTCTCCAAACTCTTGGACAACATTACAACAAAAAATTTCAACAACAAAGCCCCAACACCAACGCACCACAACACTTCATTGAATGACGATATCTTCACTGTAAAAATGCCAAAAAGAAAAACCCCAAATTCAAGAATCCAACACATACATTCACACATGCATAACCAATTCAAAGTATCATCACCCAGAAAACCCCAAAAAATTTCATCAAACAGAGAAAAATTAAAACCCAAATATAAGCCGCAGTAGAAAAATTTATAATAAAAAAAAATTGAAAAAAACACCAAACCCATGAACAAGAGGGAAGAAGAAGCCATAGAGAGCGGGACTCGTGTACCTTTTGGCCTCTGCTGTAATCGGCAGCGAAAGTATTGGTTGAGAGGAAAAGCTGCGAGAGGGTCTGGAAAAAGGCCTCGGCAGAGTCGCAGTAGAGGAAGGAAGCTCTCAAACGCCCAATATCTTTCCTTTCCCGCTTTGTGTAGGAGACTGTGTGTATAGTTTATTAACTAATTATAGGCCGTGAGGCCGTGGGTCACGTGGGAATTGTGTATGCTTGCTAAGCAAGCAATTGGTGTACTTGAAAACGTGTTTTCGGGGTTTAGGAGGGTTTTTGCCCACTTGGCATATTTGGTGAGGACAGCTCTGGCTCATTTAATAAAAATCCCTGCCACAATGTGAATATGGTTCAAATTTGGAAGTTGGGTATCCCACAGAATTGATGTTGTTACTATTTTCTGGTTTGGTTCATTGCACATCTCCTAAGAGCTTTGTTACTATGTAAAGTGGTTCTCTCTTTTTTTAGTTGATTTTATCTTATCTTATTGTGATTTATTGTTACGAACATTTTAACCTAAAAATAATAAAATTTCGGGAAAAAAATTTATTTCTGCCCAAACCCGTAGGCCCCACCACCAATCCAAGTTCTTCTGCTTTCTGCGTTCTCTTTTTAAAGTCTAAAATATTGATGGTTTCGGAAGTATCGGTATTCTAAAAACACAGAAATTTCAATGGAAATATCGGGATATTATCGATATCAATAAAAATTGAATAAAAACCACAGAAATTGTAAGAAAAACTTGGAAATTTTTCTTAAAACTTTGGAGGATGTTTATCTATTACTTTATCACAAAACATTGGAAGGAAATGCATTGCATGATGGGTTTAACTTTTTAAGTTGATTATATAGCGAGCTGACAAACATTGCGAGTGCAGAAAACATATAGTAATTAATGAAAGAATATTAAACACACCATAATCATTTATTTATATTGATTTATTTACACTTTATATGTAGTAATACATGAGTGACTTAATACCACATAGAGTTCTGATAAGGTTCAAATTTTACTTATTTACACTAACACTCCTAAAGGTTTTAAGCTTTTTACAAAACTCCTTGAAGTTTTAGATATTACAAGAACACCCCTTGAGGTTTTAAATTGTTTTCACAAAACACCTTTTCATTGATTTTTAATCCAAGTGAAACACTACTCCACTACTCCACTACTCCACTTACATTAAAGGCCAAAAGTCACTTTTGGTTCTTGTAGTTTGGCACGTCAACCACTTTTGACCATGTAGTTCAATTTCGTCACTTTTAACCATGTAATTTCATATTTAAAGCATTCAAGGACATGTTAAAATTTCTATTCATTTCTTTAACGGAGTAAACATGTGCCCCTCACATGGAAAGGCAATTTTGTCAGTCCAAAGCAGCTTGTTTGTTCATGTTCCCTAGGGAGCATGAAATTGGCCATTTTGAAGCAGAATAGGATTAGGGCTCTTAAAAATTTAGTGAAATTCATCTGGGCTTTCGATTAAGTGCAACGAGGGGGTGCGAAAAGACTAGCAGAACTTCAATAGGGTTTAGGGAGGTGAAGTCGATGGAGGTGAAGAACAGAGGTGAACTCCTCTATTTATACCCACTCCAAGACCTATTTGTAATATGCAAATTGGAAGTTTAAGCTCTGTGAATCAAAGACAAATTGGAGGTGCAAGATCAATGAATACAAGACCAACTCTTAATATGCAAATGGGAGGTGCAAGTTCTGTGAATCCAAGGCATATGGGAGTTAGCATTAGGCCTCCACTATCGAGGAAAATGGGAGGTTCAAGTGCCCGATGGAATCCACCAGGAAAAGCAACAAACAAGAAAAATTCCAAGTGAACTGAAATTGCTTATTTTGGTTGTTGGCCAATATTTTGTGAACTGAAGTTGGCCATTACTTTCTAACGTAGTTTAATAGTTTTTGGTTGTTGGCCAATATTTTGTGAACTTTCTTCTTATACTATGACTGTAACAGGCCTTGAATTCTTCTTTTATTATTAGACATGCTTTTTTTGCTGCAAGTGTAAGACCCCTGTTTTGGGTATAATGCAATCAGATTTGACTAAAAAAACACTAAAATGTTTTGTGAAATAGCAATCAGATTTAACAATCATAATAGAAAGATACTAAATTCTTCGTTTTACGTGGGGTAGATACAAGCTTTTACATGGGGCTTTGGGGTGACAAAATTGCCCCTCCACTTGGTTACTCCGTTAAAGAAATTAACAGAAATTTTAACGTATCCTTGAATTGCTTCAAATATGAAACTACAGGGTCAAAAGTGACAAAATTGAAACTATAGGGTCAAAAGTGGTTGAAGTGCCAAACTACAAAGACCAAATTCAAATTTATTATAGATAATTAAAAAGTACCTAATAACTAAATACGTAACACATAACATAAAACTAGGGGGTGTATTCAATTAAGATTTTAATGAATTTGCTAACGGAGTCTAGCCGAGTGGAAAAAGGTTTTGATTTGTAGACCAATGGTCTCATGTTCGAACCCCCATGGCACCTTGGTAGTGTATATACGAGAAACTATAATACCCTAAAAAATTAAAGGCGGACTTTTATTTTTCAATGAAAAATAATATTATAGTGAAAAATGATTATGAGTATTTTATCAAGTGATTTTGGACTGAGACTATAGGATTGAGTGTGTAATTTCAAGTTGGATTAATATGTCCTTACATAACATTTTGTGAATTTTTTCAAAGAAAAAAATTTAAGAAATTGAGGTGAGACAATTATGACTCTTAGGGAGTACGATAGTAGTCAACTTAACGAACACGTCGGAAATCGTTTCTGAATTTTGGGCCAAAATGACCAAAATACCCTTATGTGTGAAAAATTACAAAAATACCCGTGTAGGCCAAAAAAAAAAACAAAAGGGAATCTGAAACATGGAGGGTAGCATCCCACTCTCCTCCCATTCTTTCCCTCGGCCTCAGGCTTTCAAATCCACTGATGAGTCACCTAGCCTAAGGGATCTTCCCCAATGATGAATCGGATTTCTTTTAGAGAGAGAGAGAGAGAGAGAGA